AGGCGGTGCAGCCCCCCTGTGAGGTAGGCCGGCCCTTGATGCGCACGGGGTCGGCGGGACGGCCTACCTCCCGGCGCCGAGGCGGTGCAGCCCCCTGTGAGGAACGCCGGTCCTCGGGGAGCCCTTGGGAGCTCGAGGCTCACGTCGCTCTGGTGCACTACGCAGGTGACCAGATCCTGGCCGCGGTGCAAATCTCCAAGCAGACCGGGCCCACCCGGGGGATCCTCCAGCTGCAACTCCTACACGGCTCCAGCACCACCAGCTTCCAGATGCAGTGCGAGTGAGTCATGTGGACAGGGCCATGCCCTCGACTAGATGTCCCTCTTACTTCCTGCTCCTGGATAGCGTCGCACAGTTGTCAATCCCTTCTCGCAGGTTACTGGACGCTCAGGGCGGCGAGGTGAAGGCGCTTGCGGCCGCTCAGTGGGGGACCCTCGGCCCTGAGATCACACCCCTCCTCGCGGCGCGCATCTCCTACCAGTCCCTCGCCTTTCAGACGGAGCCACCGCCCACCTCCGCGGACCCTGGGCCAGCTGCCAAAACCTCCCCGGCGCCCACCCTGTACATCGACAGGGTGACGATTCGCAATCTGCGAGGCGACAGGTACCTACAGTAGCGGCATTTGTACTCTTAAAATTTTCGCCGGTTGCACGCTTGTTTTTACAGTTGCAACAAAGAAAAACGCGAATGGCATGCCCTTGCATGAATGCTACTATTGTACTCCTCTTGCGTTTTCAGAGTGCCCCTATGAGGTGCTATGAGTGTCACTACTCGGGTAATCACGAGATTTCCTTATTGTTCCAGTTGGCAGTACTGTGGCATAGGCACGCCCCTCATCCACGCTGGGGGCACCATGTTCGACCAAGTGACAGTAGATCTCGGGCTTAAGCCGTGCTGATCTTGAGCTCATCGGCCAATTTTTCGCACCAAATTGAGACTGCAGCTGCCCAAAGGTCACGACGTTTTGGCCGTGTTGTTTTGGACGGGCCTTAACGTGCTGATTGTGATAAATCGCCGTGACTTTTTTGTGTGTCGTCGGATTGTGCAGTCTATTTGACGGCTGCTCATGATTAAATCATAAAAATATATTGTATCTGCAGAACAGATACTTTCAATAAAAGACAAGTTTTCAGAGAAGAAAGCAGAAGGAAAACGGAAGATAGTTTTGTTGTGATCAAAGGATTTTAGATCTCCGTGAAGTTACCAAAATATGTTGTCTCTCAGTAGGGCAGTTACTGACGAAACGAAAATCTTTTGATATGATTATTGTTAATGATGTTGTTTTGTTATTGTTGAAATATAAATGTTACGATTTTTTTTATTAATTAAATCCTTTATTTCGTCCCCTATAATAGGAATTGGATAGGGGGCCAGCAAAGCAGCGACAGCAGTTAACTTTTTCCAACTTGTCTTTCCCTCCATTCCCGCGCTGTGAACCAAGGTGGTCACAAAACTCACGCATGAAAAAAATATTTAATTAAATGCATTTTACGGATGACATGTTGGATGTAAATATAATCCTCGTGACAGCTTTAGTAAAAATAATTAGTATGCATACCACTTCTAAGTTGGGTCATTTATTTCTTGCAAAACATTGGAGGGGTTATGTATCATTATGTTGGCAACACAACCCCCCTACCACTACTTGTTTTCATTTTCTTTCATGTTTTGGTTTTGATCTTTTTCGTTTTTCTTACACGACTTTATATTTGTTAACATCTGTCTTTCATGTTTAATCTTCTCACGTTAAATTTCGTGTTTTACGTGAATTGTCTTCTGTAATTGAATCATTTGAAGTCTTTTTTGAGAGAACAACTGGAAGATTTGCCTGTCTTTCCAAAATTATGGCTACTGGTAAGCACAGTCAACAGTCTCAGTCTCTCTTGTTTAGGTATACTTTTGTAATCCCTTTCATTATCTTGATTTCATGCAGAACGGGTTACCAAAAACCTTCTAGTCACCTGTTTGGCTATTAGTTTTATTTGCTTAGTGCAATGCCGAGCAGAATTTGGAATGTCTCAACAAAACACAGATGGATGGTTGAATCCAGATGATCTATTCGCTCCAGCTCATACTCTCAAAACTGAAAGTGTGTAAGTCAAACCTTGAATTTGTTTTATTTTGTTTTATCCTCAATTGAACCAATCAAAATCAGACTAATCTACCCTTCAATTTCATGGTAGCAAATATCAAGGTTGCTGTTGTGTTTTGTTAAATGTATCTTTCCATGTGTTTCTACAATTATCCAGAACCGTGAATGAGGATTTTACAAAATGCCAAGAGGATCTTAAAGTCTGCACTGAAAAAATTTCCGACTGTAAAATACTAGCCCATTCCACAGAAGAAAAATCACTGGTGGAATCCCCGGTTCGTTCTGAATGCATACCTGTTCCAGCAGAAGAGACAGATGGAGCCAAGGTGTATTTGCAAAGATTCATTCATTTACTATTGGATGTTTCAAACTTGAATGTAAGTTTTGTGCCCCACTTTTTTGCTATGATACAATCTGATTTTAAAACTGCATCATTATGTGACAAAATTACAGACAGAAGATGTAGACCAAGTTAATAAGGCAGAATTTTCATTTTTTATATCGGATGAACAATTATTGACTTTACGTCAATTTGCAAGTGAGGGAAATGCTAAGTCAGTGCCTTTGCGCAAGGTGGATGAGATTTTTGCTGCAGTTCTTGCCAAGCCATATATAAAACTCCCAAACTTAGAGCGTTTGCTTAATAAATTGCCAGATATTAAAGTAAGTCTGTCCATACCACATTTTGATAAAATACTCTACTTAGAGCCTGTTTTAGCAGAATAAGCTAATCGATTTCTATTTCAGGTTGGCAGTTTTTTCATCACTGTATTTCTACCAAGTATTTGGTTTTTTAGCATCTTGTTTACTACAAGGAGTATTCGAAAGACTTTTATATGGTTCTTACCAGTTATCTTTTTAACTTCATTTATCACAACAGCAACACAAATGTTTGAGGTAAGTTACATCTCATTAATGCATTGTTCCTTTCAAGATTATCAACAGCAGTCAAATGAACATACGTACTTTGAAGTAAAATTGAAATCATTCTTTAATTGACATTGTTGTTTTAGGATGCACATTTAAAGAATTATGAACTGATAAAGAGTAACAAAGATCTTCCATCAAATTGCAAAACTGGAAATATGTTTGGATCTTATTCAAGTAACCAGTCTTTGGATAGATATTTTATTTCTGTTACGATATAATATTACGTTGGCTAATGGTTGTGTTTCTCCCCCCTCTAATTTTTTGTAGGTGAATGTTTTTCTTACTTTAAGGCACACAACATTGATCCAAATCTAGGCATAACTCCTATGAAAATACTTACAAAAATGTTTGGTGAAACTTTGGCAGAAACTATGGGGAACTTTGGCAGTGGCTGTGTTGGATTTTTTGGCAGTATTCAAGGTGTGAAATCTATCATCGACATTGACAATATAATTTCAAGTTTCTTAAATCCTGTATCTTACTGTTTTTTGTTTTGTTTTTCAGAATTGGGTTGGATTTCTCAACTTTATATAACTCCTATAGCCGTTGTTTTACTCTGCTTTTTCCTTATCCTTATATTCCTTGTTCTCACTGGTGGAAGCATAAGACTGCCTTGGTTCTTGGGTGGTGGTGTGAGTTTTAATAATCCCAGCCAGGTGAGTACTAAAAAGTTCAATCACATTAAGTTACAGTATTAGTAAGGTGACCCAATCTACAATCAAACATTTATGTTCCAGAATGGTACAGTCAATGATGACCAAGACAGAAAAAATGTTCAAACAACCAGAAACTTGTCTACAGCACCTAGCATAACATTTAATATTAGTGGGCCAGCCAATGTGCAAGATATCTTACGATCATTACAAGGCGACCAACCTCCTAATTCCCCTTCAAGTATGAATACAAGAAATTTGCCCCAGATTACATCATCAGTTGTAGATGATCCACTTGCCGCTGGAGACACTTTAACTCAAGGATTACAGGATCATGTTGTTGGATCCTCTTACAGATCTCATAGACCTGTCCTCAGCATTGGTTCTAAAAAAATTCTCAAACAATTTTCTCAACTTAATGCAAAGTATAAATCAGGAAATAAATCAAGTGGTAAATCTAGGAATAGACATGTGTCTTTATAAATGTAAAATATTTTAATTATATATGTGATACTAGGGTAAGAATTTTACTTCACAAGAATTTTGACCTTGCTTCTCTCCTTATATTTTATTGATGAAATTTTAAAACTTTGCTTAAGACATGTGTTGTTTGATTTCAATGATAACTGACCTCTATAAAGCCACTTATCAAAATGACATACAGCAAACAATGTCCTGGATTTGAGACAATGTACAAATTACCTTACAAATACCAATGATTGAAACTTAAAACTTATGCAAAATTCATACCAAAAAGAAAACCGACTTTCATTTAAAAAAACAATATGAGCGTCAATATACACAGTACAAGGGTTAAAATTATTTCTTAATCCTTGCTGCCCAACTGCGCAGTTCCCATTCTCGAAGGATCCTGCGAAGGGTAGTGAATGGTACCTGTTCCTGGTGGCGCCAGTGGCGCAGGGTTCGTCACAGACCTGGGGTACATGGGTGCGGTTCCAGGCGGGAACATGGGTGGCGGATGGGGCGGGCGTACGCCAGGAGGTGGCCTCATGACCTGAGGGAAGTAGAACGGCGTTGTGGCGCCTGCCGCTGCGACGGGCGGGGGCCGCATGAGCGGCGGCGGCCCTGGAGGTACAATCCCCGGCGGTGGCCGGCCCATGGGGACCATTGGAGGCGGCGGAATCATCATAGGCTGCATCATGCCATCGGAGGAGGAGGCAGCGGCGGCGGCAGCCGCAGCGGCCGCGGGAGCAGCCAGGTTGAAGAAATTGTTGCGCATGTCTGTTGGTGGCGGCGGAAGCGTGCCCGGAAGTCCTGGCACAGGCTCCAACATGTCCTCACCGTCGCCCTGCTCACCGCCCTCACCTCCCTGGCGACCTTGTGACCGGCCCCATTTGATGGTGAGCCTTCTACCACCAAGAATAAGTTTGTTGAAAGTCCTTTCAGCTGCAATCTCTGCAGGTTGACGTTGAGTAAATTGCACAAATGCACACTGCTGGCGACTGACAACAGTGATGGCTCGGATTTCACCATACTGGTAAAAGTGATCCCTCAACTCCTTTTCGCCCAGTTTTTCTCCTAAATTACCAATATAAAGAGTGGTAATGCTCCTGTCTTCTGGGGGTTCCAGTTTGGGCATTGAGTCAGCACGTCGCATCAACTTGTCAGCAACAGGATCATTGGTACCATAATACCTGAGAGATTACATTTCAATTAATATATGAGAAAGGATACACATTAGTTCACAGAAGTACTATGGGGTGAAAGGGAAAACACTACCATTGGCACATTATATTAATAAAAATAAAGTCATACCTGTCCTTAATATTTTGATCTGCAAGTGGGTCGTCTGGATCAGTCGGCTTCTCATGCCGATATGGACATTCTTCACCTCTTTTACACTCGCCTTTGACCCAAAATGAACAGATGTGTGGTCTGTTACGTTTGTAGTATGGGCTGGTACGTGCCAACTTCATTAATAGATCACTAGCTGCTTGTGATTTTCCTACTGCACCAGTAGCAGAAGTTGGATCCAATTTACCACCCTACAAAAAATAAAAAGACGATTTTTGAGAGCGTAAGTAAAAGGCTAGTATAGTTTGATATAAATTACAAACACAATGAATGAATGATAAACTGTACCTCTCTGTCCATATTCTGAATGTAGTATTCTTTATTGACTTCTGACCGAGGAAGGTCATCTTTGATGCGGAGAGCGGCATCCCGGACCTGAATAGGCAATCCATACTCCAAATCAAGCAAGCATGTCTGACACACATTCTTTAAACGACTGCATGTCTGGCAAACTTCTGTCTTCTTAAAACGCATCCTGGCACCAGGACACCAGCGGAATACAGTGAATGGACGAGAGCAAATTTTGCATTCCTTCCCATACTTGTCTTTTGTCTGGAATCCAGAAAAACAAGGTCATCAGAGTCAGAGGAAATTTGGAGAGAAACTTATGTAGAATGCACAACAAAATTGTTCATACCATCCGAATGTAGGGGTTGTCACCCAGACAGGTCTGGCAAAGAATTGGGAATTCCTGAAATAATAAAGAAGCTTGGTAAGATTTCAGTTTGAATTTTTTTTCTTATTGTTCCAAATTGTGTAAGAGAGAGGAGCGCGCACAGTAGTAAAGCATTTAAAAAAATAAGGAAATCAAAATGCCATGATCCAAATAGAGTTTCCGCAACCTAAGTGAATATTGTGAAGATACCCTGGACCTCAAACAATTTGAAAACACTAATTACAGCAACTTTCAGGAGGGGGACCTCTTCTACACAAACAAATACCAAAGCATGAACGTAAACTAACCTAACAATAAATGAAAAAGGATAGGCTAACAATTCCTAAAATATACATTGAGTAAGTAAAAAATATTTGCAGCAACTTTAACAAAAGTCGATGTAATAATAAAGAAAAACAGATAACAAGAATGAAAACAGTGACAAACGGCACATAGCCTAGACCAAGCGCGGGGTGCCAATTTGATTAGCTTTAAAATATGTTGCGATTACACGACTTATGCAAACTAGGGTCACTTTACAAGGAAGCACATTAAATATCATAAAGAAAAGGCAACTTACCGCATCTTCCCAATTTTGTCTGTTGTAAGTGCTTGTGGATTTGGACGTCGCCATTTTAGTGTGTTAACCCACCACTTGCTGACTTCACCACCCCGCCCCGCCACTAGTGGTCCTCCTGTGAGAGGTACGCAGAGCAGTCGAGCGGCAGCCAATCACAGCGCTTTGGTGTTCCACGGGCGCGGCCATACCCCAAAATCACCCTGTGCGAGGCTAGGAGCGGCCATAACCTCCCTCGCTCCACCTCGAGTTTTCAGATATTAATTTCTCTCAAAATTCTCTTCGCACCGCCGCGAGACATGACTCATTTTAAATGTGAGACTTGCAGGAGCTCATAAATTATGTAACTCGCCCGCTTTTAGCCAAAATCTGTTGACAACAACGATTACCAAGCGCGGAGCTGGCGCGCGCTTTCTGCTAGTCCTAGTCTCGCACAGGGGGTCTCCAGCCCCATGGAACACCAGCCGCCAGCTCTGCGTACCTCTCACAGGAGGGCCACTACCCGCCACCCCGCGCCCCGGGCCGGTCCTCGCCTGCGAATAAGCCATTCCCGCGCATAGAGCATAGAAAATGTTTCACATTGTACATAGCTCAAAAGATGAAAACATAAATGAAAAATGTATGCTTTTTTGCGATTGAACATTCTCTAGAACACAGCTTTGGGAATTGTTTTTTTCTGGATATCTCGGCTCGGGTACCTGGTGGTAGACCTGCGTGGATGAACCTGATCCAACGCTCCAAAAACAAACTTTCAAAAAACATGATTATAAAATTAATGAACATCATTAGTTTCAGAAAAGATGAGAACAAAATTTCACATTAAACTTCAAGTCCAGAGGTTTGCGTCTTCGTTAGACGCGTGTTTCGGCACACTTATATCCAGGCTAGTTCCTTTGTGCGGTTGGCATCTCTGTATATTTCCCAAAATAAACCCTTTAAATTCGACTTCTTCCCTTCAGTGATCTTCCATCTTCCATCATTGTGAGGAACACATGCGCCTGAATCGGTAGCTGGTTGAAATCTTAGAGAACGTTGTGGAAAAATGAGAGCTAAGGTAAGTTCTGTCCCCATCATACATGTTTCACCGCCCTGAGTTCGAATGAAGTTGTACTATTGAAATTTTATCTGTAGTTTTGAAGTTTGAGTCAAGTAACTGAGGAGACTAACCTGTCGTGTGGTGTCCGGTGTGTCGTGTCGTACCGCGTGCACCTGTGTGGTGTCGATGATTTCTGATTCTCATTTCTGCGTTGCTTATATTTTGACATCTCTTAGACCAATGATTCCACCTTGTATGCTCCACATGATTGAGACAAATCAGTCATTGTAGGGCATTCTAAGATTCTTCACTCACTCTTCTCGGTTCTACTATTCTCTATCATGCGGCCCAATTCAACGTAATGCACTTTTCTTGATATTTAAATGTCTTTTTCTCTTTTCAGTGGAGGAAGAAGCGTATGCGGAGGCTAAAGCGTAAAAGGAGGAAGATGAGGGCGAGGTCTAAGTAGACTTATTGGTGAGTAGTTTTAATGGATTATTTTCTGTAATGCTTTAGTCTCGTTAATTCAAGCAGTAACATTTTTATTAATTATCTAAGTTTTGAATTTTGCCTTTAAATTGTTTTGTATCTTGTTACCAGACGCTGTCATCTAATCTTCTTGGGAGTTTCTTGTCGCTGTCTCCAATGCTGTTACATCCATAAGACTACCTCAATCTTTGTACAAACCTCACAATAAATATGTGATGCTCCCAGGATTTACCCTTGTCTTTATGTTGCCTTACTGCCCCATGGAAGTTGTTGGATATGCGCTCGCGGATTGATGCCTTCTACATTCGCTATCAATGGATTGTTGCCTATGTGATTCCCCGAAACATCCTCTGGAAGATTCTGAAGGTGGAAAGGGATATTTGATGAATTTAATCGGCTTCCCCTTCTAAGTCCAGAAACCTTTCAAATTTGAAACAGTTTAGTCTGCTGCCTGGTCTTGCTACGAGTTTCGAGGAAGGGTTTGAAGTTGAAGTTAGCCGGAGGGGGAGGGGGGGGGTTCACATTCCTCGGCAGCCTAGCCTAGATGGCGCTGGCAGGAAAGGCACCTTTCATAACCGGCTCGCGCAAGTTTGTTTTGAAATTGGACGTTTGTCGAATATTCGCTCTATTATAGGCCTAACGCTTCGCTTCGCTGACAAATGAAACCTTGTAACTGGTTCCCGCCTTACTTTACGAGGTGCGAAAGCAGTGGGACATCACCTGACGAAAGAGATAACAGGAATTCTCTGTTCTCCTGAGTGCCCTTCTCTTACGTTGAACGTCAAACAGGTTGTTGGCGTACGGGAATTCCTGTAAGGTCTGTTATGTTTAGATATTTCACTTTGACTGCTTTAATCAAAATACTTCGTGAATGCACTTTGACCTGTCAGGGAATGATTCAGCAGGCTTTTTTCTCTTCTCTTATCGCAGGACCCGCTTTGACACTCGCTAAGTCCCCGCTTTCGACCTTTTTAAAACAAAGCTAATAATCATGGGAGAAGAAATGGACGGCAACTCAATTCTAGCCGAGGCTTTGAAACTTCAGGCAAGTTGACACCTAGTTAAAACTTCTCCATTTGTATCGTTGATCTCTTAGGTTTGAGGAGGTCACTTCACCTCAGCAAGATCTCAAACCTCATTGAACGCTAAATTATGATAATTTTGTTGTCCTATCACAAAATATATTTCTGTAGACATGAACTGTTCTGTAATTAACTGTTCCAAAATTATACTGTTTTATATATTTTTGTACTCTAACAAACATTACTTCTTATCTGTTGCCTGAGGCAGGGGGTTGAATATGTGTTCGGCATTGTGGGCATCCCTGTCATTGAGTTGAGCATGGCAATGCAGGCTGTAGGAATGCACTATGTTGGGTGCCGTAACGAGCAGGCTGCTTGCTACGCTGCTCAAGCCATGGGATATTTGACTGGCAAACCGGCAGTTTGTCTTGTAGTGTCTGGCCCCGGGCTTCTTCATGTCTTTGGTGGAATGGCTAATGCACAAATCAACTGTTGGTGAGCTCAAAAGCATTAGTTTGAGTTACTTACAATGTGTAGTTTATAATAACAAAATTTCAATTATTATTTTTTAGGCCGTTGATAGTTATTGGAGGATCATGTCCTCAAGACCACGAGGGTATTGGTGGGTTTCAGGAATGTAATCAAGTTGAACTTTCTCGACCATATTGCAAGTATGCTGCTCGCCCTCCACATCCCAAACTTATTCCAACTCATGTGGAAAAGGCATTTCGTTTAGCAACTTATGGAAGACCTGGTAACAGTTTTATTGTTGCTTTGACTAGTCTTTGCAAAATGTGCATTTTTATAACTGATTCTGTATTTCAGGAGTGAGCTATCTTGATTTCCCTGGAAATATGTTAAGCATGTCAGTTCCATCTGGGGATATTTACTTAGCCAGTAAAGTTCCTGCCCCACCATTAGCATACCCAGATCCTATCCAAGTTAAGGAGGTAGTGTCAGTGCTTGGCCAATCAAAGCGACCCTTGGTTATTATTGGTAAAGGTAAGTATTATATGAGGGTCTTTCTTCCTGTCGCAACATATTTCTGTGTATCAATTATTTTTACTATTTCTGAAATTTATCTCAGGAGCTGCTTATGGCAAAGCAGAATTAGCCCTCAGAGATTTAATCAGTAGCTGTAATTTACCCTTTTTACCCACACCAATGGGCAAAGGAGTAGTGTCAGATACAGATGAGCACTGTGTTGCCCCAGCTCGCTCTGCAGCTCTACAAAAAGCAGATTGTATTCTTCTATTTGGGGCTCGTTTGAACTGGATTCTTCATTTTGGCCGCCCTCCAAGGTTCAATCCCAATGTTAAAATAGTCCAGGTATATTTTCATTCACAGTGAAAATTATGTTATTGTTGGAAAAGTAATCTCATGACCTGCTAAAATTTAATGTACAAGTACGTTTTTTACCTTCACTTTTTTTAACAATGTTCTTTACAGGTAGACTTATGCCCTGAGGAGTTCCACAACAGCCGTATAAGCACAGTTGCTCTCCAAGGGGATATTCAAGCTACTTGCACCTTGATAGTGAAAGAATTGACCTCTCAAGGTTGGCATATACCAAGTTCTAGTCCATGGTGGAACTTACTGAAGGAAAAAGTGCAAAACAATAAGATGACTGTTGGTGTGAGTTTTGTTATGGATTTCATCTTACTAGTTTTCATTTATTTATTTTTCTTCCTAGTAATTTGCATCTTATTCACTGTTGTTTTACAGAAAATGATTGCAGACATCAGACCCCCTCTAAATTATTATGCAGTTTTCCAACATATTCAGGACATTATTCCAATAGGTTAATGATTTCCGCTATTATATTTTTCTAGCTTTGGAAACCTTTTATTGTAAAATATTTTTATTGCCACTTTTCTGTTTTAAGATTCTATAATATGTAGCGAGGGAGCCAACACTATGGATATTGGGAGAACTCTTTTGGCAAATATACTGCCTCGCCATCGTTTAGATGCTGGAACTTTTGGGACAATGGGTGTTGGTTTGGGTTTTGCTGTCGCTAGTGCCTTATGGTGTCAGAGATATTCTCCTCAAAAGCGTGTGATTTGTGTTGAGGGTGATTCTGCCTTTGGCTTCTCAGGAATGGAGGTTGAAACTATGTTCAGGTACATGACCTTCCTTTTTGATTGTTTGGTCCATGCAAATGGTTCATGCCTAACATAGTCTATTTATCATACAGGTACAAGCTACCTGTGGTCATTATTGTGATTAACAACAATGGAATTTATGGAGGCTTTGATCAGGACACATATAATGCTATAAGAGATGGAGCTGATCCCACACAAGTGTAGGTATTCTGGTATAAACATTATCAAGTTAATTCAGGATTTGAACTCGTCATAAAGTGCCATTGCCATTGTTTTGTTCTAGGACACCACCTACAGCTTTGACTGTCAAAGTACGCTATGATAACATCATGACTCTTTTTGGTAGGAGAGGATACTTCTGTAGCACAATCCCTGAGGTACAAGATGCTGTAAAGGAATGCTTAAAGGTAAGGCATTGGATGTTGGATCTGAATGCACAATTTAGTGAGTTGTCAATGTAACATGCTAACTGGAGTAATCATTAGTCACTTTATAATTTCTACAAATTAAGAAAGATGTCTTTATTTTCCCAGTGGACAATAGTCATATAAATTTATGCAAATAATTTGAACTGATTAGTTTTAAGAGAAAAGCAGATCTCTAGATAATAAGATAATTACTCAATATGTATTCTTCTGACTAATTTTCAATATTATTGAGGTCCCATTTGATGTTGAATCAATGTCAACAATTCAACAAGCAATGGACTTGGGAACAGTTTGCAACTGACTTGTTTGATTCAAACAGCAGTGACAATTTAACTTTTGACTGGAACAGTTTATTTAGTATTGTGTGATGAGGTATAAAAACTCCACATTACAATAAATATTACACCCTTATTGAACTCAATGTTGAATAATCAACCTTAAAAAAATTAACTGCAAGTAATTGGTTACTAAAAATTTGCCTTGAATCTTTCGTCATCATACTACATACATATATATTTCATAAAAAAAAGTTCTTTGTTTCCAGATTGTTGATGGCCCCTCTGTTATTAACATAGCAATAAATCCAGCTGCTGACCGAAAGCCTCAGCCATTTAACTGGCTCACAGAGTCAAAGCTTTAAATGAAGTCAAAAACACCAGGCTGATACATTTAGTCTTATGCAATGCGCTCTTTTATTAAATGAAATATGGATGCTACAAAGTCTTTAACATTGGTGGGGATAAGGGGGTGAGTAACATACATATTGCTCATTTCTTGAAACAACTGTGTGCCTTGATTTGGTCCACAGTATTCATTTATAAATGTAATAAATATATTGTAAACACAAACTGTTCTGTTTTACTTCCAAGGCCAATAATCTTGCAGTGCTTGTACTTAACTTGAAACAATCAGCCCAGTCATGTTTATGGACAATGGGATAGACAAAAATATAGATATGCTTTAGATTGAAATAATTTCAGGCACCAGGAGACAAATCCTAGATTGACAGGCAAATGAATTGATGAACTTCACTAAGTGATCTTTAAATTGTTAACCAGGAAACTTATCAAACGAGACTGTTAAGAAAAAAAACAGAGAAAACAGCATTCTTGGACACGTCACAAAACCAAACAAAGTGCAAACACATACAATAGTTCTTGACTCTTCCCATAAGGTAACTGTTGTGCAAATAAAGGACAGCAACAAAAAAATTGACAGTAAATAGAGAAGTTTACGTGTTGACAAGACATCCACCATGACAATAATTCAACTTAAGACTTCAAAATAAGTTTTTAAAGTAGATTCTAATGCAAAGGAAAAACAGAAAACCTCTGATTTCAGTCTTTTTCAGCTACTAAGATTTTTGCCTAGGCGATGACAGCACTTTCAGATTTTCTTCTGGCCCCATAGTACGATTCAAGTTTGATTGAAGTGGGATAATCATTACTGTAAGAACAGATTCAAAACATTAACCTATATTATTATATAGAAACTCATAGGTGGTAACTCTAAATCTACTTTGTAGGCTAGTGTCAACCAAACTTTAATAAGATTTTTCATTGCAAATTCTGACAATTATTTAATTTTTACATAGCCTCTAATTATTGAGCTATACAAAAGGAAGAAGAATTTCCTGTAGGTGGGGCTGTAGAGGTCACATAAGTCCGTTCTTTTAATAGATCAGAATTTTATCACAGCCATATTTGACCAATAATTTGAGTAAGGAAGTTTTATACCTATGCTTTTCCATGATCAACATAATAAAAATATTCAAAATAATGCAATAAAAATTCCAATGTGCAATTACAGGGTTAATTGTGTACCATACAGTATTTGAGCTTCCAACTTCATGAAAATCAATTCAAATTTATTTACTGCACCTTCATTCTAGATCTTGTCAGGGATGGTTAGAACAAAATTTAAACATTATGGTACCTACAAGTTATTTGTCACACACCCTATAAATAAATCAAGATTTGGAGCATCAAGAATTGCATTAATCCACATCCCAAGATCCTGGAACATTGTACAGTATACAATGACAAGCAGGTCTGGAGTATTAAAACTGGACTGAGTATCCATCCACCACAATCTCATTGTTAGTGAAATAGAAGTAGCTTTCACTATGAAGGCTTTTTGGGGAATCCAAAAATGTCATCATAGCTAACAGACACACAGGGTAGTCTCATGATCAGAAAATGGGCATTAGTTACAGGAAACTTCAGATTTACAGAAAATAAACAAATAATAAAAAATCTTTTCAACACTTAGAATGACAGGAACTCCAACTCAACTGCATTGGCAGATTTCAGAAGCCAAAACAAGTACACCAAGAATAAAATGTGATTTGAGAGAAAATTTCTCACAAGATAAATAAATGGTGCATTTACAAGTACAAATTTATTGCATAGCACAGATCTTTTCCAATAATGTTGATTGGAAAACAAACATTAAAGAGGTAATGTAAGCAATGCAATAATTATTGTAAGACCTAATAAGGCAAGCAACTTTTAAGTTGCTATCCCCTATTAAAATTTACTTACAAGTAACACACAATAAAACTCTGAAAACATAATCTCTTAAAAAAAAACTGCCAATATTAATAATTTACTGAAAGAGCATTTGGGACAGTCAATTAGATGTCAAACATAATTGATATACCATTTCTCATTTGAATTTAGGAGAACAAAATAAGGTAACTTTCAAGAGAATGAGTGTTGTATCAAATAAAACAGGACTACTAAGAAATTTTCAAGCATAGCTGAGTTACATCAGATGAGATAAAATAATGATTATTCTAATCACAAATTAACAGTACAATGTAATATAATTGTAACATTTCAAACTACAACTTCAAAATCACAATGATTTATACCTAGTCATTGAGATCTTTAGATAACATACAAAGTAGTTTGAATATTCATAGGTTGCAGTTTAATATAAAGAGATGAGCCCTTAAATATTATTTTCCTACCCAATTTGATACAACTTTCATCCAATAGGCCAATTAAAACTTCACTTTATAAATACAAATTATTTACATGCATATTCAGAGCAAGTTATAAGCCACTTTGATGATCTGAGTGGTACAGTTTAAAATACAGGACACAATGCAAGACTACGCTCCATTAGAATGCATGTCAATTGATGATTTTTCACCTGTATGCATTCGTTTGTGGCGAGTTAGTGTGTAACTCTCAGCAAAGCAGCGGCCACATTGTTCACATTTAAACGGTTTCTCACCTGAATGAGTATGCTTATGCCTTGCTAATGTATAACTCTCTGCAAACCATTTTCCACACTGATCACAACGGAAAGGCTTGAGTCCTGTGTGGGTATGCTTGTGTCTTGCAAGAGTGTAACTCTCTGCAAAAGCCCGCCCACATTGTTCACATTTGTAAGGCTTCTCTCCAGAGTGCGTGCGCTTATGACGAACAAGAGTGTAACTTTCTGCGAAGCACCTTCCACAATGGTCACATTTAAAAGGCTTCTCACCAGTGTGGGTATGCTTGTGGCGAACAAGGGTGCAGCTTTCTGCAAAACTCTTGCCACATTGTTCACATTTGAATGGCTTGTCAGAAGTCGAAGCAGGCTTCTGTCTTAAATACAGCTCCCCGAAGAACATCTTGCCCTCCGCAGTGTCTGGCTGCATATGCATCTAGCCACTTGGGATTAAACTTTTAACTTTTAAATAGAATGTTTGTCAATGGCACATTACGCAATCACCCACAAATGTGCCAAACTTTTGACTCGAAGACTTGGATTTCTTCAAACCATAGGCAGCTTAACTTGGGAAAGACCTGCATCAATTAGAAAAACGGGTATCAGTAACAATGGCCTTTCAAGGTATGTGTAGTGGGTAGGTCACATAAGATAAGGGACTTATTTCAATGTCAATTTTGAAAACAGGAAACTAAGAGAACGCATGGCAACATTGCAACATTAGAAGAACAGCAGAAGATAAATAAAGTGCGAAACTCTTTCAGGCATTTAAAAGGCATAACCTCATTCACTAATGGAACAACGTCTGACTTATACATCGCAGCATCACAGACAAATGTTATGAAACAAGCAGAAAAACTGGAAAACTGTTATTTAGACGACTGTTCGAAGCTGGGGTAGTAATGGAATAGTGAGAGCAGGGAAGCCGTGTTCATTGAAACTTTTGATAATACCTCTTTCATAGTAATGTCTTGATATCACCGAGTTCTCACTTAGGGCACAACCATACAGAGAAACTTTAGAAGAGTATGAAATTGAATGGTATGGTGTTGATTCTGAAGTAAATGCTCCCAAACAATGAAAAAAGCGACCAAAACACAACAGATCTAACAGAAATTTAAAGTCTATGTTTGATGCAGAACAGCAGCCATCGCAACTTGCGGTCTTCTTGCGGTTGCGGTCTTGTGGCCAAAAGCACTGTTGTCCATGTGCAGCCAGAGGATAAAGAATGCAGTCACGCAAAGGGTGTACATATGCTTCATTTTTGTGTAGATGCCGATAATAGCTTTGCTTAGCTAAATAAGAGGATTTGGAAGCTTGAAAATGTACAAGCTATGAAAGATTTAAACTATTATTGTGCCTTTCAACAGCTTTCAAATGGTATGTCAAACTCTGGCTGAAGAGAAGAACTTTAGCCCATCTATGAAAGAGTAACAACAAGCTTGTCAGCAAGCACCGGCCAGAGCCACTTCCGCCTCCTTTGCGTGTACATCTTGGTGGAAACGTGACAAAATGGTACGAACGAATGTGGAAATACTGTGTTTTAATTTGTTCGAAATGTGATACTACACCGGTTGAGACTTAAACACCTTCTTATTGATTTGGCTAATGTGTAATTGTGGTCTTGGTTAGTTTGTGTGCAACGCTAGAGTTGTGATCTTAAGTCAGTCTTCACCATGCACGTTTTGTTTCGCGTGTATAATTTGTATCTATTTACTGACAAATAATTCTGTCAAATTTTTAATCTGTCTAACTGCTGCATTTTTGACTAACTGTGCTATCACGATAGTTTCTTCACTAAGATGCAATCAATTCTGTATTGTTTGTACGCGTCCTAACCCTACCTTCCCGTGGCTCCGTGTGTTTCCTTATGTATGCTCATTGTTGACTCCGTTTAGTCCTTAATTACCGTTCACTTCTACGACATACGTTAGTGGAGTATTACATTTCGGTATCTCTGCTCACCCGAAGTCCATGCACCTGTGATTGCGTGCACTTGCCACTACATCTTTGTTTGTCCTTTCAGACTACGAAGCGTCGCAATGGTGGACGTTCCAAGCACGGACGGGGCCATGTGAACCCTGTCCGTTGCACCAACTGCGCTCGTTGCGTCCCTAAGGACAAGGCGATCAAGAAGTTCGTGATTCGTAACATTGTTGAGGCTGCTGCTGTCAGGGACATCACTGAAGCTTCAGTCTACAGTAGTAAGTTTTTTATTTTGTGCACCCATTCCTTCGCTTGTTTGTCAAGTTTCCTTCTGGATTAGCCCTGTAGGGAGCGATTTATTGTATGAAACGATTGTTCCACTATCTAATGAGCTCTTTCCTTTCTCAGTGTACCAGCTCCCCAAGTTATACGCGAAACTTCATTACTGTGTGTCATGCGCCATTCACTCCAAGGTTGTGCGTAACAGATCTAAGGCTGAAAGGCGTAACAGGAACCCACCTCAGCGCAACTTTGCACGAGTAAGTGGGCAATTGATGCGTCTAGCAATGTGTGATGATTGGTTTCCTGCAGTGACATTACCCCTCTTGTTACAGGGTCCACGACCGGGAGGACAGCAGCCCAGGAAGTAATTTGTCTCGTTAATAAATTTACTATAAACACAACTTTGATTTTTTTTAAATTTGCTCCTTTACAAGCCTCCTTTGCAATATCAGCCAAAGCTAGTGTTGGGAACTATCATCTCAACTTGACGGAATGTAGGGATTTAATCTGTCTTCCCTGTCAACAATTCTTGTAGTCTATCCCAACCATTAACATATTTGAGAAGACCTACTTGGCTGTTAAAAAGCCATTAGTCAGGAAAACATTCAGTTTGTGTAGCCCATTCAATACTGTGTTGCCTGCACCCAAGATATGGTTAATGCTACTGTAGTTGGCACTTATGACTTTATCAGAAGAAAAATAATTGTAAAGGGTTTAATATTGAGTCAGGAAATTCATGGCAACCCTAGCCCGAAGTAGTGTACTTGTACTGATAATGAACCCAGGTTACCTTCTCTGATCAGAAAGATTTACAACATTTCAAACAAAACAATTTATAGAAATAATTTTTACTATCTAAAATAAAATTACAAAAGTGATGATCATGATTTGTAACATTTCCTTCAGACATGGAAACAACTGATCTATGAAACTGGTAGCTGCACTTATGAACAAAGAAATAATAAAATGTACAAAAACTGTTACACAGCTTATGAGACTTAAAATATCTTCAGGAATTTGATAGCTGAGCATCTGTTAATTTTGAATGATGAGACATCAACTTAAGTACATCCTCAGCAATGTGAACACAGCTAGTACTCTTTAGAAGCTAGCTCTGATAAGTTGGAAACTGCCACAAACTGCAAATTTCATTTTTCCAACTAGGTCAATAGAAGAGCTCTGTTAGGTACTCCACCAACCAAATTTATCATTATTCGGTTGTTAGAAACTTAAACTAAAAAGTCACTAACAATACTCAAATTTAAGTAGAATAATTATGGCATACTCTTTCGCCTTACATTGCACTGCCAAGTACTATACAACTAAATTTCATTTCATTACATGTGAGAAACAAGGAGTTCAAAAACATATTAAAAAATCAGTCAGGTACAAGAAGTTTTGCACTGTTATTTTCATCAGTGTCCGAAGAACCACTGCTAGATGTTTCACTATTTTTCACCCTGTGGCTCTTCTTCCGCTTCTTCTGTATACCATTTTTTTTCTTCCCACTAAGTTGTTTTCTGTTTTTTTTCTTAGATTTCTTCTCATTCTCCTTTCTCCTCTTCTTCCTGACACTAGACTTTTCATCTGAACTACTAGATGACCCTGAGGATTCACTATCTGAATCAGATTCATCTGATGTTGAATGCTTTCTTTTCCTCTTTACCACAACGACTTTCTCCACTTTCTTTCTATTCTTTTTCCTATGTTTCTTCTTTGAAGAACGGTGGTCATCACTGCTGGTTGAATCATCAGAGGAGGAATCAGATTCTGTTTCCCTTTTCCTTTTCTTTTTCAGAACTTTAACAATTTTCGGTTTCTTTTTAGATTTAGTTGACACAACTACTTTCCTTTTCTTCTTTCGTCTGGATTTAGATTTGTGATCGGAATCTGATGAGCTGGACTCAGAACTGTCACTTGATTCACTACTTGATGAAGAGGTGTCACTAGAAGCACTACTGCTTGTACTTTTGTTGCGTTTCTTCTTTTTTTTGGGTTTGTCATCTAGTGCAGCTTTTTTCTTAGCATTACCGTCATTTATAGAATCATTATTTAATTCAGCTTTCTTCACCTTTTCGTCCTTACTAATCTTTTTTTCTGATTTTTCTTGTCTTGAATGTATTTTTAAATCAGACTGCTCAATTCTTGATGTACTATCTACCTTATGAACTTCTTTAACAGAAGCTTCTGTCTTTTGGCCAGAATTTTCCTTCTCAATCGGTTTAGAAACTTTCCTGTTAATACTGTCCTGGGATTCTCTTCTTTTGTGTGCTACCTCTAAGCTATTAGATCTTTCCCTTGTATTTAATGTTGTTACAGAGTTAATGGTAGGGACAGTCAAACCTGATCTTGCAGATTTTCCTTGATCTGTTTCATTGTGAAGAGCAATCTCTCTGGAATTTTTTGATATTTTGTGGGAATCATTGCAAGGAGATTCGTTGTTTGTTGTACTTGCCTTTTTCTTCAGGCACTCATCCATTCCAGGAGAAGGATGCTGACCCCTATTACTGCCACTACTATTACTTGCCGCTCTACTTGGGGAACGATCATGAGACCCTTTTCCATGTTTTTTCTCATTATCATCCTTCAGAATTTCTTCATCTTTTCTGTGTTTGCTTTTAGGAACTTCAGTATTTTCTGAGTCACCAGATGGCCTCTTTCTTTCCCTTGATTCACTCTCATCTCTATAGTCCTCTCTACTAACGTCTGTATGCTTCTCAAAATCGTCATCTTTTTTAAGAACAGGTGTTTTTTTCTCTCTCCCAGACTCTTCTTTCTCTCTGTCATCTCTACGATCATCTCTTCTTTTCCTATCTTTTTCCACCTCATAGCTACGATGACCATTTCTTTCAGAGTCTCGAGATGAATGATCCCTACTATGATCTTTGTAACTTCTGCTGTCTCTACTTTCCCTGTGATCTCTTCGGTCACGTTCACGGTCACGTTCTCGATCCCGATCTCTTTCACGATCACGGTCTCGTTCTCGATCCCTTCCTTTTTCTCTCCCTCTGTCCCGATCTCGTTCTCGTTCTCTTTCACGCTCACGATCCTTTTCCCTTTCCCGATCACGTTCTCGGTCTCGGTCACGTTCTCTGTCCCTGTCTCTTTCTCGGTCACGATCTCTCTCTCTATCTCGACCCCTATCTCTATCTCTGTCTCTGTTCCTATCTCGGTCTTCCCTGTAGTCTCGTCGATCTGAACCACGAAACTTAGAGTTCTCCTTTGCAGCATTTGGGTCTTTCTCTTCCTTCTGAAATCAATAAATGAAATAGTTAATTTTGATGGTAAAGAAATGACACAACTAGAAAAAAATCAAATGTCAGCCCACCTTTACTTGAGTGTCAGTTGAATCCATAATTTTTACGCCTCTTCCCTTCCCAAGCCAGCGATATTTGGACACAGACTGACTGAAATCTACATGAATTCGTCGGTCATCAATCAAAACATTGTCCATTTTAAAATATGCATCTTCACAAGATTTCTTTTCATCAAACTCTATAAAAGCATATTGCAAACTGTCACCAGTTGTTTTGTCACGAATAACTTCACAACTGTAGGAATAACAAAGAAAATTACAGATAATGATCAATTACAATAAATTATGACCCAAATAATCGATTTATAGAGTTTATGTTCAAACCTGTTAATCTTGCCAAATCTACTGAAGATAATCTCCAAGTCATCATCACTTGTCACAGGATTAAGTTTGCAAACAAACAACACATTTTCTGGTGGGGCAACGTCAGCATCAGGGAGGTCACCAACCATTTCTAGAATTGTAGCACGAGCCTGAGCTTCTCGTTGCTTCACCATTTCTTCTATTTCTGCAGCAGATCGTCCAGCAGTATCATCAATCTCCTCATCCGGAGCTATGCGTCCATTCTGCAACATTCAAATTATTTATCAGGTTTAAGTTCTGCTTAATGTAAGAAAAAAAAAGGTGCTCTGAGGACAAAATTCTTACAGCCATGTTCTCTTTAGTCGGCTCAGGAGATCTATCAGGAACTGAGAGTCCTGGGGGATCATCAAATGGATCCTCCAAAACTACAGTGTGGGTTATTCTAATATCCTGATATGGTCTGTGTTCAGTGTCACAAATGGCATCATTAAGTTTTAACAATACTTCTTCACCTTCAGTGATCTCACCAAAGACACAATGTTCCCCATCAAGAGACTGCAGATCATTGGCAAGAGTGATGAAGAACTGCGATCCCAGCCTGTAAATGAGACCAGATGTAAAATACTGCGAGTTTCCTAGCATGGATAATACATTAACGGGCTTTTATCTTACATGTTGTCTCCACAGTTGACCATTGACAAAAGCCCTGCTTTGTAGTGCTTGATCTTCGGTATCTGTTCTGCTTCATAGTAACGGGATTTTTCACCAATAGTTTTTCTGAAAATTATTATTATAATATATCAACCAAATCATAATGTCATAATATGCTTCAACTACTCAAAGGAGGAACTTACCCAAACACAGATTCTCCACCCTTTCCTGTTCCAGTTGGGTCTCCCGTTTGAGCAATGAAGTTGTGTTGAATCGAATGAAATAGACAGAAATTGTAGTACTTGATTTTGCACAGCTTTAAAAAGTTTTTGCATGCTGGAAGAGAAAAACAAAGTTAATAATACGGATCAGATACTTTATGGTTACTTGTATCTCCGATTGGTCCAGTCAAAGCTGGAAAGGACAGTAACACATTCGAACCAAGCTCATCTATTTTAGATCAACAGAAGCAAAAGGATAGAATAAAATAGGTATATGTAAATTAAACGGAGGGGAGAGAAAGTTGTTCCAAATATCAACTCTACGTGTTACTCACTTTGTGGTCTTTGATCAATAAAGAGGTCAACAGTGAAGTCTCCAGCAGTAGTTTCAATAACGACCGCCATTTCTCAGAGAATACTATCACAAAGATGATCCAGAAACTACTTTAACAGGATCACCGGGGGCTTAACCTCCACAGCAAGTCAATATGGTGACGCTTCAAAGCGGCAATGACCATAATACTTGTTGGAGGAGATCCTGAAAGCGAGATTCATTGGCAGATCAAAAATACTGCGCGTTCAGACTTATGCGGCACTTGGTTTTTTATTTAAAAAAACGACGAAATCTTCAGGTAAGTTGCACTGCTAACCATTGTAGGTCACGTCATATAAACAAGGTTTGCAAGCAGGTATCACGTCGGCTTTCTTGTTTTGAGAACCCAGAAACCCTGCGGGTGGTTTTGCAGCCAACGTGATGGCCAAAATGACAGTGTTAAAAGCTGAGCTAATTGAAGAAAATAGTTCTCAAAGGCGTTTAATTTATTTTTGAATATGTTTAAGAGTAGAAACAAGTATGTTACTCAAAGTCACTATAGTTAAATTAATTTATGGAAAACAAGCTTTTGCCTAAGGAGTTGGCAACAGGCACCAGGACAATGTTGTATGAAAAATAGTATGGTCGCTGTAGCAGACAGATTCATTCAACCGGCTCTTTGTTAATCATTTTCAACTGCTTAGTTAATTGTTTACATGCAATAGTGTGTCATTTAAAAAAAGTTCGTTGGACAATTAATGTTTCTTTCGTTATGTGTTGTGGCTACCTTCCCCTGCTATACAAAAACTCTGAAGAGCTGATTATGGTGACAATTTTCTCAAACTGAAACGCCAGGATCGGGAGCGCGCCTTTATTTAAATCGCTGACGTAAGTAAAAGCAATTGTGTGAGTCGACCCAGAGAAAGCAATGCTAAAATGCTGACGCAGATGATTTGAGAAGATATGGTGCCGTGAATTCCCGAATCTGCATTCGCAATATCGCTCTCGAGTGAAATGTGTACCCCTATAAGTTTTCCTAGCACCATTGAAATCATAAGAACAAGCGGGGAAGACCAACGTTCAACTGACGATGAAATATCCATTTCGCCGCACTTTATTTTTTACCAGATCAATTTTTGGGGGGAATGTAATGATAATTGATAATGAAAATGTGTCTTAACGCCTTACTTAACGACGACATCGATCCAATTCTTTGCCATATAAATCCCACAAGTGCGTTCAGAACACCCTTCGTCGTGTAAAACGTGTAAGAACGGTTCAGTTGGCATCTATTATAGGTAACATGAAACTAATACATGATCGTTGTCCTTTTTCTGGCAGTGTTTGCTACGCACGACATGCGTGTGTTGTAAAAGTTAAGGGCAAGCGATCGGAATAAAAATTGGTTTCGGCCCGCTTTTCTTAATCAGAGAATAAATATCACTTAAATCAGATGGAGACAATTTCGAAAAATTACACACACTGACCCACAAATGCTGTCTTTCACAGAAATTTTTAAAAATCAACTATTTTTAACTGTCCTTTTCTGAAAAAAAATCGATCCGATGGAAAAATTACACCGAATAAATTCAAAAACACGTTTATTTCAGGCAGAGCGGCTAGCTCGCCTATCCCTGTAGAGTCCGTCCGCACTGCAGGATGTGGATCATTAGGAAGGGAGCGTCAGCAATTGGACAATCTGTGGCGACTAGTCGTCAGTGACGTCACAAGGGCTCACGGACGGACATAAGGGCAGCGACGACTGGCGGGGCCGGGCGGAGCCAGCGGACGAGCCGGACTGTAGATGAGGCACTCTACACCGTGTGTCGTGTGCACTGTGGAGGCGCGATCAGTAAAGCGGAGCGAAGGAAAACGATTCTACCGACGGCAACGCTTTACCCCCCCCCCCAATCTTACCAGTCACAAAGACCTCATGGGGGACGTCAGGCCTTTATGGAAAAATACTATTGAAGTCATCATATTAATTTTTCCGTCCCAGAACCCCCCCAGAACGGAAATTTTCGAGGTTCAGTTTTGATAATAATAATTAGTAGCCATCTTCTATATGCAGCACTTTCCCTGTTGCATCTGTACTATTTCTAAACCCTAATCTGCAGAAAAAGGGGGGGGGGCGACTGGGGGGCTCCAAGAGGGAACAAGTCCCCAATCAAACCGTCTCGATAAGCCGGGACCAGCACAGCATCCCCCTTGTGCGCCCCCCACACCGCCGACAAGACGACTCGAGGAGCTCCTCTCTGAAGCCGACGCCGCCGTCATCCCCTATTCGACATACCAGACCGTCGCGAATAATCGGTACCTCCCCCCCCCCCTTTCCCTTTCCGTCTGCCTGTATACGACCCTGTAGGGTGATCGGATCGCATAGCATAGCTCACGGGCCTTTTCGACTTCCAAACCCAATGAGGGTTACAGTCCCCACAAATTTGAATATTTCGTTGAACGACTGGAGGATTGGGATCGGAAGTCGACAAACAGCTTCCACGATCACCCTCCCAGAAGGGTGTCAGCAGGTAGCTCGCTGGAAGCACCATCTAAACAAGTCAAAAGAGAGCGAAAAGGATGGTGGCAAGGCTGGTTGTTTTTTTTTTTTTTTTTTTTTTAAGAGCTCTTTAATGACCCTCCTGGGGGGCGGCTCATGCGATATAACGTGTGCATAACGATTACGGCGGCGCGCAGTGCCGCTCTCTGTATCGATGCGATAGCGGGCCGAGCGCGGCGGGCCACGTGACACCCAAGCGGGAGCGCGTTCGACTGCACCGCCTCAGGGTGCTGCAAGGGTCCGATACTAGGTTCCGGTAGGTGCCCTACAGGTCCATATCACTTCCTCCTAGTTTCCTCTCGCTCCTTCCTTACCTCCTTACCCACTTTCTCTCGCTCGCTCTCTCTCTCTCTCCCACACGCGCGCGCGCTCGCCCTCGCTACTATCTCCTTCTGTAGAAATAGAAGGGGGCCGCCACGGGGCCGATGCGAATAACCCCGCGGGTCGCTACAAATGCGGTGCCCTGCCCATGATGCGATAGGGAGGTCCCATTCATCGCTGTGTGAAGCCGCGCCCGCCTGTTGTTAGGATGGGTCTGGGTCGAGCCAATTACCGAGTTAAGCCCAACGCGCGCGGCTGCAGACCCGACGTGCGGCGGCCGGAGAGGAGGAGGAGGAGGAGGAGGGGGGCAGGCATCCCGCACGGCGCACCGCCCCGGTGTGCACAGTGCAGGCTTTGATTTCCATCTCATTCATGCCACAGGCCCAGCACACCGTGCCCGCCCCGCCGCGCGCCCAGGACAGGCTTGCCAGCGGCGCGTGTTCCATTTTGGCCCCGGTCCAGTCTCGTTTCGGCGTGCCAAGCGGCTCCGGGGCTCCGGGGGACTGAAGGGAAGCGCGCCGGGAGAGGGGCGAGGGCGAGGGGGCGGCGCTTGGACCCCGGCTGGCCCGGCTGCCGGGGTAGACGTCAAGGGTGGCTGAGCCCCCTCGCGAGGAGGCTGCCGCCGCCAGCGTTTCCCCGCTGCGCCCCCCGCACCCCCTCGCGATGACCCCCTCCTGACCCCCGCTAGTCCGCGGCGCAGACCGATCTCGAAACGGTTCGGACCGCGCAGACCCAGGCTCCGCCGCGGGCCTTCCCCCGCGCGCCCCGCGCCCGGCAGACGCGACTTCGGCGCGGACTCGGGCCCGTCCGCCGGCACTCGGCGCGCTGAAAGTCGGTGCGCAGAAGCTCCCCGCGCCGGTGTGCGCAGCGAGGCCCGCCCCCCGCCCGGCCCTGCCCACCCCCTTCAGCCCCCAGCCCAGTCCGGACTAAGCGTAGACCGACCTCCCCGCCAGAGCGCTCTCGCAGCGCCGCTGGTCCCCGTGCTCCCCGTGCTAGTCTCAGTGTGTGCCCGGTGCGTGTGTCAGTGATCAGACCTCATCCCCGCCATGGCCAACGTCCTCCTGTCCCTGGGTGCGGTGGCGGTGCTCGTCGCCCTGTTCGCCCAGCCCGGTAAGCGTTTGCACCTCGCCGTCACAGTCAGGGAGGCCCCCCGAGCGGCTCGGGGGCGGGCCGAGGGCCCCTTCCAGCTCGGGCGCGCGGTGAGGGAAGGGCGGCCGCCCCCCGCGGCCCCCAGGGCCCCTAGGGCCCCCGCGGCGCCCGGCCCCCCGCCCCCAGCGCCGTAAAGAGGAGCTTCAAGCGCACCGTGATGTATCGAGCGCGTGTCACCGGCGTGGTGCGGAACGGTGCTTTAGTGCCGTCCATTGGACGACCGCTTTCGGCGGAAGAGTATCGTAAACCTGCTCGAAGCTGTTAATAACAACTGTTTCGACTAGTGCCTGCCGTGAGCATTTAACGATGCTTACTCGATGCTCGATATGCGACTCGCGTGACCCGCGCTTCCTTCCTGCCAGCCCTCGAGCTCTAGGCAGCACGCCGCTCAGTACAGCACCGTACTGCTCAGTACTCGCACCCTCCAAACCCCCCCACCGCCACCACCTTTCCCTCGTAGGACTGCCGTGGATCGACAAACTGCAATCCTCCTCCCGGCGTCGTGAAGTTAATCTAAAAGTTTCCACGGCGGCGGAGGGAGTTCTCGGCTCACGGCAGCGACATGCGACACCACTACGTGCTTTTTTTTGCGCTCTGCGGACTGACTGGCTTTTCTCCACGCTTCAATAAGCCCCTTGTCGTCGCCATGGTCTGCACCGCTTCTCCGCCCCTCCCTTTCCCACTCCCCGCCCCCCTTCAAACACCTGGCAGACTGCGTGCCAGGCGTTATGGGTCAGCCCCCCCCCCCTACCCCCTAGATGGGAGGTTCGTGTCCGACCACCAAGAAAGTGCATAGCGAAAGGGTTCGTGAGCCATACAGCCACGGTGGCGGCAAACGCAATCTCAATCTCCTCTACTTCCCCCATCACTTCTTTTTGCAGAGTCGCTCTTTTACCCAGTCTTTCCCCTCTGCCGTCTTGCCGTCTTCCGCTTCGCGCGCGCGCGAAACAGCTGCCGCCAGGAAAACTCTGCGTGTTTTCGGGCGCGCTTGCCTCTGCTCGACCTCCCACACTTGGCCATCGTCCTCTATGAGCTACGTCCGTGCCGTCCCCGCCCCACCTCCCTTCGCCTCGCTTCGACTCGCCCTCGCCCCGCCCGGCACGCCGCCACACGAGCGCAGATACTCTGACGCAGGGGTAGCGGGGTAGGCGGAAAGGGGGTTCGAGGAGGGGGGGGGGTTCCTTGTTTATTTTCATTTCTCGCGCCATTCACGCAAAGCCAAAGCAAGAGCCAATGCTCTCTCGGCTTTGCTTCCTCGCCCGATCTCGCCCCGCGATTACTCCAAAGTCCCCCCTTGTTGGTCAACAAGCCGCGCGAGTGCACGGAGACTACTGGCGCTGACCCCCTGCGGCGGACCCGCGCCCGCCCGGCGGCACCCGCTGCCAGGGGCGCTGCGCTACGCCCAGGACGCGCTGCTCGCACCACCAGAGATAACTCTGTCGCCTCCTGTCAGTCTCTGGCTCTGCTCCACATTTATAGCGATGCAACACGCCGCGCGAGGCCCGACTCTATCCCCCTAGGTCGCGGACTTCTGCAAAACAGATGGACTTGACTAGCGGAGCTCTCTCTCTCTCTCTCCCCCGGGGCGGGGCGTGGCGCGCGGAGAAGCGCGTGACCTTGCAGCATGGCGTTAACGTGCGACAATGCGACCCGGAGGGAGGGGGGAAGGGGGGAGAGGTGCAATGGTCCGGAACGAGGTCCCGCCCTGAGCGCCCAACGGTATGCCCGGCACAGGTGTGTGGGTCGGCCCTCCCAGCAGAGGTGCACTATACTCGCACTTCTCTGGAGATACACCTGCTCAGCCAGCGGCTGCGTGTAGTGTAGCGTAAGGCAGGCGCTCCCCGCGATAAGACGACCTCCTCAAGGTCGCCGTCGACGCGACGGCGCGGGTGCGGATGCGTTCAGCTGCAGTGCAGACGCGTCATACCTCCCGCAGCTGCGGCCTCCTCTCATACAGCTGCATGCGCCACCTCCCGCAGCTGCGGCCTGCAGACTGATTCCGAAGAGCGCTCAAGGGGAGCTGCCCCATAAGTGCGACAAGGACGGAGCTGTACGGATTGTATAGGAGAGCGCTCTTCGGAATCAGTCGGCAGCTCTCATCCAGCTACCCTTACCGCAACCCTTGGTCTTTGGGCAGGCTGCAGTGCCGTGGACGCGCCCGCGGCCTGCAGCTCGCCACCCCTGTGCGTGACTTGCACCCTTCTACGGCCACTGATAAGGGTCTCGGACTGGCCGCATGGGGGGGCCGCGCGGGCCGCGGCGGCGCGCCGGCCATAGGGGAGGGGAGCTCGGCAGGGAGCTGCGCCGACCGGGGGGCGGGCCGGTGGTGTGGGCCGAGGGCGGGCTGCTCAGCAGTGCCGGCAGAGAGTGCCAGAGCAGAGAGGGGCGACACACATAGATTTGCCATTTTTCTCTCCGCTCCCACACTGTCATATCCATCCGCACGGCTCTGCCGCACTGCCCCACTTTGTGTCGGGCATGGCTGTGCTGGACCCGCCGCTCGCTCTTGATCGTGTTAGCGGTGCGAGAGCCGCTCGTTGCCTAACCGGAAGAACGGCCTCTCTAATTACCGACCCGACGCGCGGCGCCTCTCAATGAGAGTTGACGCTCCCGTGCTAATGGGCCGATGGCGGGGCCGGGGCCTCTATGTCCTCAAGCCCTCCCCCCTCCACCCTCTCACTCTCCTCCCCCCATACCCCCGCCACCCCCCGAGAAAACTCTTCAAATGGCATCGGCTGAACGGTCGCGTGACGGGCCAGAGCCTTCTGGAGACGCCTGGTAGATAGGCAAGCCCGTCGCGCCGGGATGTCTCGCAGGGTGGCCTACCCTCGCTTCCGCAGGCGCTCCGGCAGGCGGGGACTACTTTTTTTGCCCCTCGCCGATGAATATTTGATAAATCGTCGGTCGTCGGACTGCCCGCTTTTCGTGTTTCTGGTTGACCCCCGTCCCTTTTCCCCCCGCTGTGTTTGACACGTTATACACGACCGTGCGTTCGCTAGGACATGCTGGCCGCGCTTTGCCGCCCCTCCACCCCTACCCCTAGCCTAGCCCTATGCCCTCCACCCCCACCCCAGCGTGGCCTTTGGAGCAAGAAAATCCGATAACGCCCTGCTGCCCCCACAATGTCGTGCGTCCGGGGGGTGGGGGGGGGGGGGGGATGCAAGGCCGCGGCTCTAACTAGCCCCCCCCCCCCCCACCACCACCACCACCACTACTCTTCCAGTCCGAGTAGCAGGAGGACGACACCACATCTCCATCCTTATGCCTAACCACCACCACCACCACCACCACCGTCCTCCCTTACGGTAGAAGTCGCACGAAGCGGCGCGGAGCTGCAGCCCAGCCGCGCCAGTGTGGGGCACCCGGCCGAAGGGGCGGCCGAGCCCCCTCCCCCCGCCCGCTCTGTGGTGAACCCGCTCAGCTCCCTCATATTGATCGCTGGACCTGGAGGCTGCACGGCCCCCTGCCTTCCGCAGGCACCCCCCCCCCCCCCCCCCTCCCCTGCTCGGCCTCACCCCCCCCCCCCCCCCCCCCCCCCCCCCCCCCCCCCCCCCCCCCCCCCCCAAGGACGGCGCGAGCCTCCGGCCCAGCTCGGGCCCTCCCTGAGGGGGGGAGGGGGGTCCATACTAATAAGGGCCCTCCCTGCCCGAGGAGCCGAAATGCCAGACGGAAAGGACCTTATCGTGATCCCGCGCCGGGCGGGTGGAGGGAGGGGGTCGTCTGCCGCGCTGGTCGATACCGCGGCACCGACTGTACCTCGACTTCCTCTTTTGCTCCGCAGGTTCCGGGCTCATCTGCTACGAGTGCAACTCGCACAATGACTCCCGGTGCGCCCTGGACATCCCGCCGGACAACCTCAAGAAGGACTGCAGCGAGCACATCGACGGCGCCAAGTTCACCATGTGTCGCAAGATCACCCAGTCGATTGAATTCGAGGTGAACGGACGTAAGTATCTCAGACAAAAAAAAAGAAAAGACGTCAACATAACAACTACGTTAGAACTCGGTCACTAGAGCCCCTGGTGGGGAGGCAACTCTAAGTCTGCCACACAGCCGTGCGCCACCGTAGCCTACTCACCAAGCACATAGAGCGCCTTGTGAGTAGGCAACCCTGGGCCCGGCACGCAGCCCTGCGCTCCCGTTGCCTACCCACCAGGCGCCCATGGCGCCTTGCGAGTAGGCAACCCTCGGCCCGGCACGCAGCCGTGCGCTCGCGTTGCCTACCCATCAGGCGCCCGGGATGCCTCTCTGCGCGCGAGCGGCGGCGCTCTGCTCCTCGCTCGCGTGACCCGTGACCTGCCGTGTGCCGCGGACGAGAAGTGGCGGAGTGGCATCGCGTGCCGTGCCCTTGAGCGTCCAGCCGGAGGTCATTGCCGCTGGTCCGCAACACGGCCGCCTCATCGATGTCCGACGTGTCGGCTGGTCCTGACACCGGCTGGGGCCGCCGTCACCAAAACACGAGCGAATAATTAAATAATGAGGAGACGCTCGCCTGCCGTGTACTGTTGTGGCTGCGCCGGCTCTCGGTGTGACCTGTTCGACCCCTTCCTGTTCCAGTGCCTCCGGACTCACGAGTGATCCGCGGCTGCGGCTGGGACGAGTCCACCTACAAGGGCAAGTGCTACCAGCGCTCCGGCTTCGGCGGCAGGCAGGAGGTGTGCTCGTGCCTCACGAACAACTGCAACGGCGCCAGCACCGCGGCGGCCAGCGTAGCGGCCGTGCTGCTCGGCTCGCTGTACGCCGTGCTCGCCTACTGATTCTCCGGCCGGTGCTCCGCGCTCGGCTACATCCCCGGCGGCAGCCTCCCCATGGCTCCGCGACCCCGCTCGCTGCTCGCAGCCTGACAAGCACTGCCACCTCGACCAGCAAGCGCAACCCGTTTTGGGAAAACGATGAACTGAAAAACAAAAAAACTTTTTTTTTCTTTTTTTTAGACCTCCCCGTGATCTGTCATGTACCATCGGCGGTGGCTGACCGTCCCTTAACTAGAGCGAGGACGTCTGAATAAACGACTCAGCCGAGAGCCCAATAGGACTCCACGCGGGGAGACTAGACTAGATAATAGTGATCTCGGATGACACCGTGGTCTCTGCAGGCCCGGGAGGTTGGACCACGGCCTCGTCCTGACCTGCCGCGACCACGGTCTGAGAGTTAGAGCACCTGGATCAAGCCAGGGTTTTGTCGTCGTAGACACACTCAGCAGAAGAGCGCCAGAACGCGCCTAGGTTCTTTTTACTACTTCTTATCGTAACATGTAATACGGTAGATATAATGGTGCTGCCCGTCCTGTAGAGTGGTCCGAAGAGCGGACCGACTCGTCACTGCCTTCGACTTGTCGAACAAAGTGAGACCAAAACATCGTGTGGATCGAAACAAGAGAGATCAGAGCTCAACGTTTCTATTGCTCAACAAACCTTAGAGAGGAGCTCACATCTGAACTCTATCCTTTTTGTGTTTCTTTGAAGGTTTCTCACTAGCCCGTGGCAACGACACACCTGACCTCTTTTCCCTTTTTTGATTATTAAGACAATAATCATATCTTCTTGGTTTCGTTTTAGAGACTAACTATGCAAAACTTGGAATCAGGCGTAAAATGTGTATAATCTAGAAAAAAAACTAATATCAGTCTTGAGTTAAATGCATTTATAAACAGGGAATTTAAGCCACCGATCTTAAAACGATAAGGTGGTTCGTGTCGGCTAATCCTTTAATCTGACCTTGGCAGCTGATTGCAACTTTGTTGCACGCACTGGTGCACAGCAAGCCAGTAAACGCCACTCTAAACTAATTTTGGAATCTTTGAAAAAAAAAGTCAAATAATAGGAATATAATTACCAATAGCTAGTCTTGTACTTTACTGTAGGTGATCACAGTATGTGAAAATTGGATTCCTTTCTGCACCAATATCCTTTTCTGTTGATTTGCAGTCATTTTCGAATCCTGTTTTCTTACAATTTCTAGAAAATTGCTGTGGGTAAACCTCCGATGAGACGAGTGCTTTTTCTAATGTAGCTATAAGTACTTCCAAAAGAATTTCAATTGCATTTTGCTCATTCTATAAGGCCGATGAAGAGTTGCTCTCGACTTGGGATTGAGTGATTTATTTGAAAGTGGATGACAGATAAGAAGATAAGTCAGTGAGCAGTTCTTGCATTAGAATAACTGTTGTTTATTCGTTTAAATACTCTATTTTTGTTGTCTTCGTTTTGTTGCCCCGTTGTGAAATATAGCGAACATATTTGTTCGACGTACACCTGTGATCGCGAGTAGATTTAAATGAGTAATAATAAACTATTTGAAAATTCGTACATAAACAGCATTTTTACGTTTATGCCGGATTAAAAAATGCCCCTCTCACTTTATCGCACATCAATAATCACAATGTCTTTAAAACGCCATTGACACATTCACGCGGAGGTATCCTGATTCACATGCTATTTTCACAATTACACTGCACTGTAGACGATCCTATAGAATTCAACGTACACTTAACAGATTACAAGAGACCAAATGTTTGACATTACACAGAGAAAATCGGAAATTATGAAACGGTTGGAGTACATAAAGCACCATTCACTTAGCTTAAACCTACTCATGCGTTCCCGTTTCCTCGCTACACAGAGTTTCCTCGGATTCGTTCTTCGAGGGAAGTCCCTCCCAACTCACTCTTCGTTCTTGGCTGGCGCTTCCTCACCATCGGTACCGCTCGGCTGTCCCGCTCCCACTCCGGCGGCGGAGACGAGGTTCTCCGCAATGGACAAGGTGGGCTCGGGCTCCCCTGTGCCCTCCTCGTCGTTCTGGCTCGGGGCGGAGTGCGCCGCCGTCCTCGTTGCGGGGATCCGATCCGGGTCCTCAAGCTGGAGTCCTGGATTCCTGCAGGTCTCGGAGTCCTGGAGATTCCTGGAGCAGAAGTGGTGCTCGAGCAGGTCGTCGAACACCTTCTCCAGAGCCTTGGTGCGCCCGGCGCACACCTTGGCCGAGTCCTATGGAATCCCGGGATAATTAATTAGCCAGGAAAATGACAGCCGTTGTGAGGGAAATAAAAACGAGCCCGAATATTTTTGTCTCACGCACCCCGCTGCAATTGGTGTGATTAAATAAGACCCGGCGAAAGTCCTGTTCAAATTGATCGAGTGTTTCGTAAGCCTGACACTCAAGTTTTTGAGACATCGAGTCGAGGTCAAAGGGCGCTCCCTCCTGCGAAAAAGGAAAATCAGTACATTAGACAGTAGATCGAGCTGACTTCTGTTGGGGACCTCAAAGGCCGGGAGACAGATAAGTCAAGTCTCAGTCAGGTTACAAGCATCAAGCAGACCCGGTAAAGTCATTTTTGGCATCACAGCAGAGTAAAGTAAACAACAAATTAATTCATCGCCGACACGCGCCCGTCGCAATTTGTTCGCCCACCTCAAACTCAGTGTCCTCGGCCTTGTGAAGGTCGTACAGCGCGCCCAGGATGTCCTTCGCCTTCCGCGCCGTGGTGGGGCTGAGCTGAGGGGCCGAGGCCTGGGTGCAGGACTGGATCCCCCTGCTCCAGGATCGACTCCGTCCCACAACGCGGGTCACTCTGCCCGAGCTCGACGCCCCCGCTCGGGGCTTTACCTTCTTTCCCCTGCTCGAGAAGTCCTTCGCTCGTGACTCGTTGACGGTGAAGGAGGTAGGAACTAGCTGCTCGGCGACCTCCAGCTGCGCGAGGGGCAGCCACCCGCGGGACGCCTGAGGGTTGGCGGCCGTGAGCATGCCCCCGGGGTCATCCACTTCGCCCGCGTGGCTCATAGCGTCGCCGTCCACGAAACCCAAGATCTCGATCGCCTGTTCCACCGCTCCATCCTCCCGCCCGGCGTCCTCGTGAGACTGCAGCGCCTTGCTCAGGGTCTCGGCGGAGGCCAGCGCGGCCTGCCACGTGGTCTCCGACAACAGGGGCGGCGGCAGCATCGTCATGGAGGCGGGCAGCAGCGGGGGCAGCGCAGGGGTGGTCAGGGGGTAGGTGAGGGGGGCGGCGGCGTTGCTCTCCAGGGGGCTGCCCGGCGGGGCGGCGGGGGCCGCGGGCGGCGTGCTCTGTCGCATCGGGACGTCGTAGCAGCCGGGCTTCATGTATGCGCCATGGTGCACCTCGTCCGAGCCGTCCAGGTCGAATCTGACGACGGGCGCGTGGTGCCTCCCTGCGGTCCTGGGGGTCTCCGCCACCGGGGGGCTGCGCCACGACCTGCTCGCCTTAGCGCTGCCTATGGGCCGCTGTGGGGTCGCGCTCTCGCTGAAGGACAGGGGATACACCACGGCGCCCCCGCCCGCGAACGTGGAGTCGAGGCTTGGAGGCGGCCCGGTCCCCGTGCCCATCAGGCGCGTGCTCGCCCTGGACTCGACCTGGTTCGCGTCCGCACCAGTGTCTTCCGCACGCCAGGCCGGCGGCGGGAGCGTCGTGCTCCTCGACAGGTTGGGGCCGGGCCGGGTGCCGTCCACCCTCGCCAGCTCGGACCAGTCCTTGCTAGCCGGCCCTCGGAGGGCACTCTTCTGGGGGAGGGTCTTTGGGGAGTTCTTGCCGGGCCCCTTTGCCTGGCCTTTGGGCCACACCTGTCTGCTGGGCGGGGGCGGGGCCGGTGAGGCGTGCTGGGGCCGCCACTGGTCGCCCTCCGAAAGCAGCCGCTCGCGCGCGTGCTGCTGTGCTTGCTGCAGCGCCGGCACCCGCCTCAGGATGGCGACGATGACCCTGCGCGAGGCCTGCTGCCACTCCCTGAAGGCGGAGTGCAGCTCCTGCTGGCAGGGGAACAGGCCGAGCCAGCAGCTCACCAGGCGGAAGAAGGCAATGATGAGCGCCCGCGTCTCATCGCTCGGCGCGTCAAACTCGCCGCCCGCGGCCGCCGCCGCCGACTCGCGGATGGCGTGACAGAAGGTCAGCAGGTCGCCGATGTACGAGTGCTGCTTGTGGACGCGGAGTATGCTCTCTAGCTCGAGGCAGCCTTTGACCACCAGCTCCCGGAAACTAGTGTCGCCGTCGGGCAGGGGCAGTTCCGTGAGGATAGATCCTGTCGGGACGACCCCGGGCTGGGGGGAGGACTTACCCGCGTAGTGGTACGCGTTGGGGAAAGGATAGCTTTCGGGGAAGTACGGCAGGTTCGCAGGGGGCGGGTCGGCTCGGATGGGAGTTGGGGAGGGCTCGCTGAAGCGAAGTCCTGGCGCGCAGTGGAAGGCTGCTTGGGTGGGTATGGGCTGCACTTCGGCCGCCGCCCTCACGGGGATTGGCGGTGGCGGTGGCACTTGCTGGGGCACCTGGAGGAGGCTGAAGGGGCTGCGCTGCTTGGCAGGGGGGGTGGGGGGTGCAGAAATCGAATCGTTGAAGTGCAGGCCGCCATAGTCAAGGCCGATACCCACGCTCAGGCCGAACGACTCATACGTGGGAGGACTCTCCTTTGAGGAGCTACACAACTCGGACACCATTCGCTCCACTTCCACGGGAAATTCGAAGGGTGCCTCATTTTGGGCTAGATCGGAGCTTTGGTCGTGTAAAGTAGCAGTCCCATGGACCTGGATCTCCGGAGTTGCTCGACGCCTTGGGCAAAGGGGCGGAGTAATAGAAGTAATCGAGAAACTGCTAGTGTTGCGAGTCTGTTTGCAAGTGGCAGAGGGAGAGGGCGATGAGGGTAGTTCGAGAGGTGGCTGCAAGGTCCAGGTGCAAGACATCCCAACTGTGGCGTAGCTTCCAGCGCCGTCTATCACTGATGGTGCCTGCTAGACAATCAATTATTATTTCTTTGTAAATTTCATGACACTCACTTGCTGATCCAATCATTTTAGCGTAGGGACGTGGGCAGCCTCAGCGCAAAGGTCCAATTATCTGCTTACCAAAAATACATGGTTTAAAATGGAATTTCACTTTCACTATTTTAGTTGAGTTCAACGGACGAGCAGATTACAAAAGGTTATTGTGAAATGGCAAACCATTTGTTTCAGTTATTATTAATACGTTAGGCAGGGCCTGCTTAAACTTGTTTCTATGACAACAAGGCGAGAAAATAAAATTTCTGGTAATAAATTATATTGTTGGGATGAGATCAGAGAGTAGACGTTTGCTCACTGCTGATCGTCAAAATAATGATTTTCCTTTCAAACCACTGTATTTCCTAGAAATATTTTCCTTGTATCACCCTCTTTTCATGTGAAATGCCTTTAGAAGGTCAGGCGCATACGCCCATACTCTCGTTTCCCGCTCCCGCCTAAAGAGTTACCAAAGGTGCAACTTTATAATTCACGCAAATATTTAAAAGTAAAAATGAACATAAAGCAGTGTCTTTAAATAAAATTATACTAAATTAGTAATAATAATAACCTTCATTTCATTTAAAAGCCAGAAAATTGTTTTTATTGTTCGAAGGAAGAGTATTTCCATCATTTAGAGTTGGTACTGCGCATACTGCAGTGAGGGGCGCGGGGGAAGATCAAAGAGGCTGTGAAATATTCAACTGCATAGAGAGTCATGCTCCAAAGTTGTCAGGTTAATTGGTAATGTTTATATTTTTAATAAAAAATAAACAGAGTGTTCAGCTTTCCTTTTGTTTTCGAGTTTTTGCCCAGTCTCTTAGAAATAGGGTGTCACAAACTCCGGTAGATGACACATTTCTAGTAACACTATAATAGAATCTTAACCTGCACTGGAGAGCTACAATTTCGACAACATGTAGACTTTTAGAGTTGAAACGATGATATACCATACATTCTGAATGGAACCTACTTCAGCAAGATCTCCATATGGTTTACTATTAATTTTCTTTCTACTCACTATAAACGCTGCGAGGTTTGTTTGTATTTTAGTATTTATAATGCGTGTATTGATTCCCTTTTTGGACATAGAACATTCTATAGTTTTCTGTTTATTTGTACTCTTTTCTAGCCAAACGTATCTTATATGTATTATTTGCTCTGTTGTTGCAGGGGATATGACTTGTCAGAATGGCTGATCAAAGGCCTGACTCAAATCATTCATGTGAAATATGTGGTTTAGATGGTTTGTCAGATGAAAGTCTAAGGTCTCATATGGCAAATAACCATCTGGAGGGGGCTGCAACCTGTCCATTCTGTGACTTAGGTGATATCACTCCCAAAGAAATGATGATTCATGTCAACAGTGCCCATTTGGATTATTTAACACCTGACAATGAATCAATCTCCTTCATTGATGAAGATGATGACGATAGTCCCTATGTAAGTACTTTTTATTGTTCCACTGGTGGAAACACTAATTGTATTGAGTTTCACTCTAATTTTTAAAATATTTTCTGTGCGTTTTCAGGACAACTCAAAAGATCAAAACTCCTCTGCCTATGCAACAAAGCCAAATCAGTGTACTTCCATTGTTGAGCCTTGTGCAAGCTCCAGTGCTTTTTCAGGTGACTACATAAGACTATCTAAATCCATGTTCATCTTATTTTTAAAATCGAGATATACATCTGAAATTTTGTTAAAATTTCAGGGCATTTTCCCGGCCTGACTGGTGGATGGGGTGAACATGGCCCTGGTTCTCCTTTACGTAAAAAGTTAGCTCTTCAACTGAATTCTGATACACCCCCTGCTCAGCTGTTACAATGTCCTTTGTGTCAATTTTCTAATGTGTCAGCCTCCGTGCTTGAAGAACATGTCAATCGCGAACATTTAGATCCACTCAGTCCAAGTCCTGTTGAAGTTAGAAGTGAAGCACTGGTAGAGAAATCTTTAGACTGTCCACTTTGCATCGAAAAGTTTCAATCTTCTACTGAGTTAGAGAGGCATGTGAATTTCAGTCATCAAGACATTCTCAGTCCTCAAAAGGTGACCTGTTCAGCAAATTATTTGTTGTTGATCCTAAATGCATTACAGTTTCAGTAAAACTACGTCTTTTGAAACAAGTTTGAAAACAACAACAAAACTTTTGATACTATTTTATACTTTTCACAGCCTGTGGCCAACAATGAAGCAAGTTGCAGTGGTAAAAGAAATGGGATAACGAATGAAGGCTGTCCTCTTTGCAAAATGGCTAACTTTGCTTCTGATCGTGATTTGGCCTTGCACTTAGAGGAGCACTACAAGAGAAGTGGTAATTCCCTCTACAAATGTACCTCATTTTTCTTTTTATCAGTTCTATGAAAACTTCAATTTAAACATCTTCTCAAGACATTCCACTTTACTTGCTTCCACACATTTCATTTTCATAACTTAAATTTTTTTCAGACACAACTCCTGATCTCAGTTCAGATCAACTTCTGGCTAGAGCTGTTGAACAGCAAGAGAAAGATAATCGGCGACTGCAGGAGCAAAAGGAATTTGATATGTTAAGAGCTCAGTATGGTATGGATAACCAGGGCAATTTTAAGGAGCAGAGTTTAACTAACATGCAAAGGGCTGTTTGTTCTGGGGAATTAACCATTACTGATTATTATGAAAGACAAATGGAATTAAGAATGGCTGAAAATTGTGGCATCGATGATCAATCATCATGTACAAAAGGTAAAATTTTGAGAGGAAAAGGTACATTTTTCTTTACTTGTGCACACAGATAGTTACTAATTGATCTATTATGTATTTCAGGTATCATTCAAAAGATTCATACACTCAGTTCAATGTCCAAAAATGTTGTGCGCACCTATGTGTGCAGTAGAATTGATCATTATGCCTCAACATACGGAGACAAAGGTTGGGGTTGTGGGTACAGGTATGTATGCCTTGAGTTAGGCAACGATACACTATAGGCTTCTGATTTTTATCCTTCTAATCAAAATATGAATTTGTTTTGACTAGAAATATGCAAATGATGATATCATCCCTAACGCATCATACTAAATACAATGACCTAATGTATCGAGAAGATGGAGGGCTCCTCGGTATAAGTGCCAATCAGCGCCATGCTGTGCCTTCCATTTCTCGACTGCAGAAACATATTGAGTGGGCCTGGAGCAATGGGTTTGATGCTCAGGGGTGTGATCAACTTGGTAGGAAGCTATTCAACACCAGGAAGTGGATTGGTGCCACTGAAATGATGACATTATTGGCTTCAATGCGTATACGGTAGGTATTGTTGCTATTTCAGTGGCTACAAATTTTTCCATCTGTGTAAGTTTAATTTTTTCTGATAAATGGACAATAGTGTCTATCAAAGTAATCTTCTTACAGGTGTGAACTTATTGACTTTCACCGCCCTACAAGCTCTGATGGTAGTCATCCACAACTGTTTAATTGGATACTACAATACTTTCAAAAAACAGATGACTTTAAACCACCATTGTATCTTCAGCACCAAGGTAATAGTGAAAGTAGTGTCAGAATTTATACTTTCTCTAACAACTCTGGCAAATTGCTCATCTCAAATTCATTTTTAATAGGTCATAGCAGAACTGTAGTGGGAATTGAAGTTCTACCAAACAGCTTAAACTTACTTGTGTTGGATCCTAGTCATGCTCCTCGACAGATGGCACAGCTCTGTGACACAGGGTCTGGAATGAATGCTATGCGCATGATAAGAAAGGGATCAGGTACTATGCGAGCTCGCCAGTACCAGCTTGTGACTGTCACTGGGGTTATGCAATCGGAGCAAGAATTACAGGTATTGTCACTTTTTTTTCTGTCATCCTAATCAATTTGTTTCTTATGAATCTCTCTGGGAATTCAACTAAGAAGTTCACATTATTTGTCAACAGCGGAGTAAAAGTCTTGTTTCCACTAAAATACCATGATTAATGGCATGGAGTGGATATAGAAGATCAATTTAAAACTACTGCTTTTGACCTGTGGCTGGAAAGTTGGAAGGAAGAAGAAACTGTAATTGCTTGGTGTTTAGGAGCTTTTTAATTCAAACTATTGTCTACCCTAAAAGACACTACATTTTTTGCACAATTCTGATGTGAACATTTCCACAGAGTAGGCAAAATTCTTTCATTTTTTTTCTTTTTAAGTATAAGTAATGTGTCATAATGCATACTGCCGGTATCCCAGGACTACTTCTGGAAATCTCATTGCCTGTGATAAATTTGCTTTAGTTACACCCATTTTTATTATTTTTTTTATCTGATGTGCTTGTATTTGCTCTTGTTTGAGTTCCACATTGCTAGCTTAGTTTAGTATTTTGGTATGTTAAGTTAAAGATCCTGTACTAGCTCAGATAAAACAGGTATTTTTCTTATTAGATGTTACTTATGTTTATTTTTAGTAAATCCATCTTGTCACTTCTAAAACTTTGTGTACAACTTATATACCATTGCCTATATTAAGTCCGGCATCTCCAGGGTCTGCTTTTGAGGCAATCGTCCACTCTCCACAAATTTCACCAAAGTGTCAATTATGTCTAGGTGTCTGCTAGGTCAGACTGTTTCATTGCATGATTCTTTTAAAATTTTTGTTTGGTGCTGTGTGGTAAGGTTTTGCATCAGTAGAAAGTCAATGCACATGTTGCTTAGCCACAAGACCTTTTTTCAACAAAATGACTCTTGAAGATAAAATGTTACTGTGGTGGTAGCAAAAAAAAACAAAAAACACTGCTTCATTCATCACAATAGCTCTATTTTTGCACTCCTACGTAAGAATGAATTATGCAATTATCTATAGTGTTTGTGTTGAGGGAAGGATTTTATCAAGTTTGAATATGATTTGTTGTGTATTTCTTGAAGACACAGTCTCCAAGAATGTGAGTTGTGTTGGCACAAAATGTGTATATTTAAGCTAATATGCCGACAGTTCCCTGTTCTTCCAGAAATTAATTCACAAGAATTCCTGTTTATGTGCTCTTCAACACCTGAATTTTCTTTAATGATATTGATATTGTACATCTGCAATAAAATGTGAACTGAAAACAAAGTTTACATTCTTACTTGATAAGAAACTTTTATCAATCTTCAATTGATCAAGGAATGAAATTTCTAATTTAAAAGAGTCATTTTGACTACTAAACTTAGAGAAAATTTCCAATCTAAACTTTACTGTTAAAAGTTATTGGTCAACGGAAACAAACAAAAGCTTGCAAATGATCACACCTACATGGATGTTAAATTAAATAAAATAGAAAAAGATGCAATCAGTGATTGAGCTTTGCATCAATAGCTCTTCAGTCAGATTTGTAAAAGTGAATAGCAGACAAGGTCATCACATATAAATGATGGCTTTATAAGAATGTAACACTAAATTACTAGAGAACCCCCAATGTGAGGTCATAAATACAAGTTTTAAAATAGCTTGGATACTACCAACAACAATGAGAGAAAAGTATAATAGCCTCATCTTTAAAACACACCAAAAAGAAATCAAAATACATGAAATTACAAAAGTTTAGTTTGGAAATGACTGCATTATATTAACAAATCTACCTAAAGTTAGAGTTAAAACAGTTACAGTATCACATCCTCCTCCTTTGTCTAATGGCACATCAGATGCAATAGGAAGGTATTATGTCTCAGTGAGAGCCTACGTATTTAAAAAAAAAAAATGAAAAAAAAAATGCATACATTAGGTTCTGAAAAAATAAGAATAGACTGGTTAAGGAGGCCACAATCATACAGCAATGGTTGTTAATGGGAATAACCTTACATGACAAAATCCTTTCGTATGTAGATATAAGTATACAATATGGTCCACTATCTCAATAAGTCCTTATCTTTACAGATCCCTTAAAATCAATGACAAAAGTATTGATGGAGTTATGTTATCTCTAATTCATCTACCAATATAAGCTAGTGGAGAATCAGGCTAAAACATTTTGTTAGAAAAGTCCACACTTTAGCAAAATAAAAACGAATCACAACTCAATACATAGAAACCCACGCAAAGGTACATCATAAACAGAGTGAAAAATTCAATTTTTAGATTTGCTTACAAAAGAGGAATAAAATAATGATTAATGGTGGGTATAGAAACAAACATGGAGGTATTGATTGATATTAAAATAGGTAACATAAAGTTGCATAGAAAATTGAACATGTTGCTATGCAAAGGCTATGCCTTACTTTTCAAGGGACACATGTATTGATATGGCCAGTTAAAAATATTTTGCTGATAAATCACCCATTCATCTCAGATTAATATTGTAACAAAAGTCTTCAGAGAAAAACAAAACAAAACAAAACGAACTACCTAAAGTTCTTGACAGGCTAAAGCACTCAGGCCCTTTTTCTGGATAGCAACAGCAACAGCAGCATCCATGAATTCAAAGTGACCAAATGTTGGTGAATTTCTCCCACTGGACTGTGATGCAATAGAAATAACACCTGCTTCAAGGTCTGGTGATGAGGTTGATTGAGATGAAGATGTAAAACTACTTTTTGAATCTTCATCAGTTGAGTCAACACACCTGCGCTTTGAAAAGCTGGAATTAACACTCTCTTTGCCTTGCCTTTTCTTACAAATCTCATCCTCAGTACCAATTATTCTCAAATGTTCCCGCTGGGAAATAAGGGAGGGAATTTTATTTTTTTCATCTGATCTACTTGAGTTACTGGATTGCCGTGCAACTAAAGAATCAGAGATTTCAAGAGCAACATTTGAGATTGATGTGGAACACATGCTAGATTGAGAAACACCATTCACTTTAGGAATAGGTGAATGCATACATTTACAGGAAGATGAAACACAGGTATCTTGAGTGCAACCAGCTTCTTCTTCATCATCATCATCACTGGTACTATCGCTGGTACGATCAGTTCCGTCAGCATCATACATTGGATGGCGTGATTGTTGATTTGGTCCCCAGGTGCTGGGTGAAGATGATGAACACTCTGTGGGAGAGCTAATTGTATATCTATACTGGCTAGATACATCAGATATTGACTGGAGAGTGTGCCTTTGAAGACCATGACTTTGAATGGCTGAAAGAATCCCCTCATTTTCAACACTTTCATCTTCCTCCTCTTCCTCCCCACTATCATCATCTGCGCGAGGGAAATTAATAGAGCTCAAAACATCATCTAAATCAGAATCAGGAGCAGACTCAAGGCTAGGATTAAATCCCATTTCCTCAAGAACACAATTTATAGTATTGTCCATGAAAGCTTTAGCAATTTGTCTTGTTTGCCACTTTCGAACATTCCAATCTGGATGCGAAGTGGGTAGCCTAGGTGTACTTGGTCTTTCTCCATCATGACTTAATGAGGCCCTCCTAATGTTTTCGTTGAATGTATCACAGACAACACAACTCACAGTAGTCGCACCTATCCTCAAGGGTGGTAATGGAGGATGTTGGCCTTCATTCGTTGAAGCAGTCCCAGGTTGAGCAGTTGGTGGATGACGATCACAGAAAGGTCCAATTCGCAAGGGTGGCAAAGATGGACGCTGGTCTTCAATGGTTAACTCAGACCCAGATTGAGTAGCAGGAGGATGATGTTCACATGGTGGTGGAGAATGTTCCATGTCTGTGATTGTTTCAAATGCAGATGTGTTGGAATTACGACTCATACTTTCTGTTACTGCTGAAGTGCTGTCAACTGACTGAGAACACACTGAACTTTCTCTTGATTCTGAATCACAATTGGAGTTTTTGAGATGGTAATTGCCTTTAATTTGCCACACAAACCGTGCTTTTTTCAAAGTTTTTAAGCTTGAATCTTCTACAGCATCATCTCTAGTTTCACAGATATCATCATCCAATGTGGCACATTTCTTCAAAGAGCTCATTGCATGACAGAATTCATGATTACCAGCTGCATTCATCTACAACAATAATAATAATCAAATAAAGACATAGAAAGACCAACGCAACTAAAGAAATCAAAACACAAATTTGGGAGATGGGGTATCGCATATCTATGGTACAGCTAGAGATAATGAAAAGAAGTACTGCTGATCAGAGAGGTAGGGTGAGGGTGAAATGCTTGTCATGATAATGGTAACAAGGAAATCTCTGATCATATTTAAGAGTGCAGTAAAGGGCACTAAGGAAACTGACCATGGCCTAGCAGAGCAATTGTTTATACGAAACATGTGAGGTACACTATTGTAAGTGGTTGAAATACCTTTCCATTGAGAGGGAATATGGATCAATATGCTTCAAAATGTTGGCAGAGAAAAGTCTATAAGCCATTTAAAACTCAAATATTTCTAAGAAATGTATTACTGCCAATATGTCGATTAGTTTACGAAAATCAGCTGTCAACAAGGATTTCTTTCACTGCCTTCTTGGTTACGTCATTTACATTAATTAATTCTTCCGCAATTCTTCTTGCACGGAAAATTTTCCTGTGGCCACAACCCCCAACTGATGAGTCCAACCTCACAAAACTAAAACTTTCGCAGAAAGTGTCGCTATTGCGAAACCCTGATAAAATAAAGTTTAAGCGAATATCAGTTAATACAAGATACAATGTTTCCGCATACTTTCACCACTTCTCCACGAACTGTTAATCCCCAAAGTGTCTATACCTGCATGAGGTTGGCTGCTCCTTCAATGTGACAGACTTAACAAGAAAAAAAAAATTTCTACAAATTTACAATTAATTTAGGGATTGTTGTGGTTAGCCGCACACTAACAAATCAGGAACAAAACTACGCTGCTACACAATCAACGACGCCTTTAAAGTTAATATCTAAGATGTGCAGAAACTCCGGAGGTTAGGGGGATTGGGATAATTTAGCGGGGTTTTCAAATTGCACACAAAGAAACTAGATTTGGGCATAGATTTGTTATGGAAGCAAAGTGAAGAAGTTGCCGAAGTTACCTCAGGCTTGTTCTTCTGTAGATCAAAGAAAGCCTCCGACCATGCGGCCCGTTCACGATCGCAGTTAAACTAGCACAAAACGGAAGAGAAACTACCTGTCCCTGGCTACGGTTTGGATTTCCCGCGACTCAGCACTATCACGAATGACGTCACATCTTCTGTATATTCGCCCCTGAATCTCTTCTGTGTGTGTGAAGTGAGTTAGTGTGAGTGTGTGTTTTTGTATGTGTGTGAGTAGTCGTGTTGGAAGAACAGACGTGCCATTACGGTAGAATTGACAGCTTGACGGTGTGCACAACAACATCAAATGTTCTGTTTCAAAGTGAAATAAGTGAGACACCACCATCTCCAACCATGGGGCTGCCTGGAAATGGAATTTACGTGGTGCAGGGGGAAATGTCCATCCTCCTCACGTCAATGAAAAGGGGCAACCGATGGTCCTCTCACTCGCATCAGGTACTGCAGACGACAATACCAAAGAGTCATTCGAATTAAAATTTTAAGAAAGACAAGTCCACTCTTGTACTGTCTTGTGTTGTAATTTCTTTCTTACTCTTTGTATTTCTTCAACATTCAAAAATCATTGTCTCATTATACATCTTAAATCCACTAACCATAGGGTTAGGACTTCTCCAAACAAAAAATAACAATAACAATAAGCTTATTAAATTGTACCATTGCTGTTAAGAGATATGAGTACCATTGAAAACATTTTACTTTCCCCTCTCTTTTAACCCCTTTTTAAGTGATGTCTTTTTTTTTATGAACAGGGTGATGAAAATGATAGTCTAATCCGATTATTTATAAAGTTAAAAGAATTACTCAACCAAGTTAGCGATTTGCATCAGCTTGATCCTAATAATTATTTTGGTAAGTGGACAATTCCATAACTAGCATACATTAATTGTGAATTTTGTATTAAAATCATAACTCGTGTTGCTTCCAGATCCATTTCTGGAAGTTATCAGATCTGAAGAGACTACAGGACCTGTGACAAGTCTAGCCCTTGCATCTGTTGCTAAATTTCTCTCTTACAATTTGCTGGGTAAGATTTCACTATTTTCTGAAGAATAAACAATTCAAAGCCAATAACAGCCCTCCTAACAAATTTATTCTTCTCTACTTTTAGATTCGACAAATAAAACAGTTCCAACATGTGTGGAAAATATTGCAGATGCTGTAACACATGCCCGTTTTGTTGGAACAGACACTGCTAGTGATGGAGATGTGTTGATGAAAATCCTCCAGGTAGGTGTTCATGCCAAATGCCAATTTCTAAATCAAATAATATCCTAATGACTTGACATCAATATTTAAATCAAACTAAGCTACTAACTCAATGTATTTTTTTCTGTTTCCTTCCTCTTCAAGGTTTTGAGGACACTGATGTTGTCTCCTGTTGGTTATCTGCTGAGCAATGAAAGCGCTTGTGAAATCATGCTAAGCTGTTTTCGTATCTGTTTTGAGATGCGCTTAGATGGTAAGTATACCTATTAAGTTGTTGACATTTCTGATCATTTTGTTAGCTGTAGCAAGCTGATCACTCTTGATTTTTAAATTTTTACTAGAATTGCTGAGGCGTTCAGCTGAGCACTGTTTAAAAGATTTGGTCCAACTGGTCTTTACACGGTTGCCTGAGTTTTCTGAAAATCAGCATATTCGGATGAGTATAAAGGTAATATTACCCGTTAGTTGCATCCATTTTGTGTATTATTTAATTCTTTTATTTAAAATTCTATTTAATTTTTTAGAAGCTTAAAATGAGAACAGGAGTTGTGGATCAAAATTCATCACGAGCATCAAAACGAAAAGGCCGCTCTATTACTCACAGTAAGCATGGTCATCATAAATCAGCATTAAGTCAACCTCCTGATTCCTCGCATTCAACAACTGGTAATGATTCAGAAATTCTTTCTTCTTTGATCATTCTAGGTTTTTGATACTTCATTTCATCTTAAACTTGTTTTGATCCCTTTTTTTTCCCTCTTCTTGGAGCAGTTGACAAAAGTCAGACTTCTAAGGATTCTGTCCTTCCTAGTTCAGCAGATCTCAATCAGAAAGGAAGTAATCCAGCTGCTGAGGTACATATTAATGTGTTATATGCAAAGATTTTTTTAAAACTGTATTTTTAACAATTAACTTTTGTTTGAAGCCTCAGGATGGAACTCCAGTTAAAGATAATCCTCCCGAACAAAGTCTCATGTCAGCTGCAGATGCAGACTCTTTGCCAACTGGAACGACCGAGAGTGGTTTTTGTAGTGTTAGTGGAAGTGTTAGTAGTTGTGAGTCTTCCGGTGAAGGACAGACTTGTGTCGAAGTTCAGAGTAATGAGGCTTCAAACTCACAGTCTATTGCTGTTGGTGAATTTAATGAGGAGAAGCCATCAGACGAGAACTCAGAGTTGGTAGCAGGTAAGATAGAGCTGACTAAACATTTTATTATATGGAAATGCCTACTAGCATTATCTAGAAATTAACTTATTTTGTCTTTGCTTCTGAATACAGAGAACTCACCTTCTTCCAATAAAGAGTCAGGGGAAATTTCTAGTAATCCTACAGAATGCAGTTCTCAAGAGAAACAGCCAAATCCAAATGGAAAAACTGACACACAAAGTTCTCCAGGCAAGCAGCAGCCAACCTACATTAATCCACAAGGTGTCCGGTTTACTACTGTTGAAGAAGAGGATTCAGAGGGAGGTATGCTTCAATTCAATCTAATCCATTGAATAGGATCTAATGAATTTGTTTTAGCAGTGTTTGAAATAGTGCATTTAATTCCAGCTCCTCTGTTACCTTATGGTGTTGAATGTGTTCGTGAACTGTTTCGCTTCCTCATCTCTCTCTGTAATCCAAATGACAAACAAAACTCTGAGAAAATGCTTCATATTGGCCTCACTCTGCTAACTGTTGCTTTAGAAGTAGGAGCAGATAGTATTGGCCAATACCAAACTCTTCTTGTCCTCGTGAGAGATGATCTCTGCAGGAATATATTTTCAGTAAGTACATTATGTGATGAGCCGTGGACTATTTTTATGGTCTCAGATCTTTAAAAATAATGTTTTGTTTACAGCTTTTGAATACAGAACGCATTCCTTTGCTAGCTGCCACATTAAGGGTCACATTTCTTCTCTTTGAGTCCTTGCGCACTCATCTCAAATTCCAACTTGAGCGATATTTGCTTCAGTTAGCTGATATGGTCACATCAGATTCTCCTAAAACATCTTATGAACACAAGGAACTTGCGCTGGGTATGGTTACATTTCTGCATTATGTGATCTGTTAAAATAACTGTCTAATAATTTATATTAATCTCCATTTAATCAATCCTATACTTTCAGAGTCTATTGTGCAGCTATGGCGAATACCAGGGCTTGTTACTGAACTCTACCTGAATTATGATTGTGACTTATACTGCTCGAATGTGTTTGAAGATTTGGCTAAGCTGCTGTCTAAGGTAAATTACATAATTTTCTGTGTGAGCTTTTGCGCATCTATTCTTGCTTTTGTTGTTGATCTACGAAACATTTAAAATTTTCTCTGTTACAGAACACTTTCCCTGTATCAGAGCTTTACAGCATACATTTACTCTCATTAGATGCCCTGCTGACTGTGATTGAGTCAATAGAAAGAAATTGTCATAGTAGGATGCAAAGTGAACATCAAGAATCAGCTGTGTCTGTAATTGCTCCTCGTTCTGGTATGAGCTTTATATTTTCTCATGGACTTATTTTCTGTGGTATTTTAATCTAATATTTTTTAGTATCCTAATTTTATGATATTTTTTTAGATGTCACTCAGGATACAACAGGTTCAGTTCCCTCAGCATCAATAACACCTGTCTCATCTGGCAGGTGCCATGTGTCACAAAACATTCCTACTCATGAGCAATTAATGGCTGTGAAGAGAAAGAAAAAGGTGTCATTTGCTGTTCATGATCATTGCTAATTTACTTCATTTGATGAAGAGAAATATAATTTTGTGTCTCTTTTCTAGTTGCTCGCAACAGGTACCGAACATTTCAACTCCAAAGCTAAAAAGGGCATCCAATATCTTCAGGAGCACCACCTTCTTGCAACTCCATTAGACACTTCTGAAGTTGTGCATTTTCTTCGCGAAAATCCTCGCCTTGACAAGAAAATGATCGGAGAGTATATTAGTAATCGTGAGAACCTTGCTGTTCTTGATAGTTTTGTTAAGTAAGTTTATGGTACTTCATGTTGATTCCATTTTAATTCTCAAATATGATCTGGCCTTATGCTATTAACATATATTTTCATGACAGCTCATTTGACTTTGCTGATACACGTATTGATGATGCCTTACGCCAGTACTTAGAGGTCTTCAGATTGCCTGGGGAATCACCACTTATATCTCTCCTTCTTGAACACTTTGCTGATCACTGGCATGTAAGTACTTTATGTAAATATTGGATATGAAATTGATTTGTTATGTTGATTTGTTATTATTATCATTATTGACGCATATTAATTGTGAACTCTATCTCTCAATAGAAAAGCAATGGGGAACCATTCGCAAATAATGATGCTGCCTTCACTCTTGCTTATGCTGTTATTATGTTAAATGTTGATCAACACAATTACAATGCCAAACGCCAAAACAATCCAATGACACCTGATGAGTTCAAAAGGAATTTGAAGAAAGTGAATGGTGGCAAAGATTTTGAAGAAGATATGTTGGACGAAATCTACACATCAATCAAGTAAGAGGCTAGTACTAGTAGTTTCACACATTAAATTAAAGTTCAAAAAATTCACTCGTCTGTTTTTCTTTTTTCTCAAGATCTTGTGAAATTGTCATGCCAGCTGAACAAACGGGCATTGTCAGAGAAAACTATCTTTGGAAAGTTTTGTTACGCCGCGGGGCTAGCAGAGATGGGGTCTTTATTCATGCCCCTGGTGGTCTATTTGACCATGATCTGTTCTCTCTCATTTGGGGTCCATCTGTGGCTGCCCTAAGTTTTATCTTTGACCGCAGTCAGGATCCTGTTGTTTATCAGAAGGCCATTTCAGGATTCTTGTAAGTTTTCAAAGAGAAGTTGAATTGAAATTGGTCCTAATCAATCATTTTTTGTACATGCTTATTTCTGAACTAATTAATTCTTGTTATCTGAAGGAAATGTGCGCTTATATCCGCGCATTACGGAATGAGTAATGATTTTGATAATCTAATTATTTCCTTGTGCAAATTTACAACACTAATAACTACTACTGAGGTATGTATGTACTCAGTGCATACAAAATATAGACCTTATTTTGTAAAATATTGCCATGATATTGTCACTCTTATACAATCCCTGTTATTATTTGCAGACTGTCGATTCACTTCCTGTCACTTTTGGAGCAAATACTAAGGCACAGTTGGTGACCAGCACAGTCTTTGGCCTTGCTCAGCGTCATGGAGATATATTACGCCATGGTTGGGCTAATGTACTTGAATGTTTACTACAACTTTACAAATGTAAATTGTTACCAAAAGCCTTGACAGAGGTAGCTAGCTCTCTTATTAAACTTTCTGATTGGGTTAAAATCTTTGATTAGAGTATATTACCTTAATTAAATGATATGCAATTTTAGGCTGAAGACTTTTTGGAAGCCAATGGTAAAATATCACTAATGAGGGAGGAAGCACCGTCACAGAAAATTGAGACGGGTCTTTTAAGTTCTCTTTATTCATACATTGCTCTGTCATCTGAACCTGCATCCCAGCGTATGATATCACAAGAAGATCAAGAACGTATACAGCAGGCGAGACGTTGTGTAAGAGAGTGCCACTTAGAGCATTTGATCACTGAATCAAAATTTCTCAGGGTTGATTCGTTGCAAGAGATGGTGAGGGTATGTATTTCATCCTTCTAAAAAAATTGTTTTTTTATTTTTGGTGTTTTTGGTGTATTGCAGTATTGTACATGATGATGTGATTTTGTTTTTCAATTATTTATGTTCCAAGCATGTCTGTAGATTTAATTACTATTATTTTTTACACAGGCCATTATTCTTGCTTCTCATGGGCCAGATGGCCATCCATTACTGGGAACATCACAGAATGAAAGCACAGCTATATTTTTCTTGGAGCTGTTGATAAAAGTTATTATTCAGAACAGGTAATTTCTTTGATCCTTGCTCTCTCCCTCTCTGAACCTAATCTGAGACAGCCTTTCCTTTTGGTCTTGCTCACAGCTGGCTGTGTACCTTTGTGTTGCAGAGACAGAGTTGCATCAGTATGGTGTAATGTCCGCGATTACATCTACAGTTTGTTGATGGGTGCTGCAGCCTGTGAGCATCCATTCTTAATGGAAAGATGTGTTGTTGGTCTTCTGAGGCTGGCCATAAGATTAATGCGCCGTGAGGAAATGAGTCCTGTTGTAAGATTTTTTTTAAACATTTTGCATACTGATAAAATTCTTCATGGTTGGTTAAAAAATCATAAATCATCAATGTAAATGACCATTCCAGATACTTCAATCTCTTCGTATGCTGCTACTTCTAAAGTGGGTTCCGCTCTCACGCGTATCCCGCAACGTTGCATATGGCATTCATGAGCTTTTAAAAACAAGTGCGGCAAATATTCACTCCGATGCTGACTGGTCTGTCATTTTCACATTATTAGAGGTGGTGGGTGCTGGAGCACCTGCACCTCGTGTCATAGGTGAATCCAGTGCTCAAGAGCTTCAATCTAATGATCAAGGTATGTTTCATTGAGAACAAAATTAATGTGTTGTGTATTGCTTGCTCATGCTAAATTACTGAAAATTTAGGAGCAAAATCTGATGGCGAGCTACAATTAGGATCTCAAGAAGACAGTGGGATAGGTACTGAACGAGGCTACACCTCTGACTCAGAGCTCAGCCGCAGCACCAGTAGTTTTCCCACTCAAAATCTTACTCAGCCTCTTAGTCCAACTATCAGTCCAGAACTTTCTCCAAGCAACACAAACAATGGTGGATGGATCCTGGTGAGTTGACCATACAATTTTATTTGATTGCAATTGAAAATTGCTAAAGCCAAGCTTTCTAGTGGATTTTAAGGAAATTATTAAAAATTGTGTTCTTGCTTATCAAATAGGTTGGTAGAGAGGGTGAGATACAACCTTTACCTATGAGGTCATTAAGGTCACCTGTGAATAGTCCTTCTTGGGACCGAGAGTTACATGCTCATGACCCCTATGCTCTAATAAAATGTTGTGAAAGTCTCACCTTCCTCGTGAGGGATGTTGCTCACATTACTCCATACAACTTTGAATATTGTGTACACTGCATTAGGACATTTGTAGAGGCGAGTTTGCATTCAAGTACGTATTCCATTGTATTTTGAGTAAATGTTTTTCTACAAAAGGACTCTAATCTGGGAAGCTGCATTCTGTCATTGTAAGAATTCTTTCTAATCGTTTTCAAATCCTCTCTTTGACATGACAGCTGACAAAAAGCTTTCTCGGAAACCTGGAAGCCATGCTAAAGATATTAATGCCAAACCTCGTAAGAAACTACCCAGTTTGAGAAGAAGAGAAGATCCAAACTCAGGAATTGCGCAGCGTAGGGCACGTAGTCCTCAAAACAATCCGTATGATGCTGATGAGAGTGATTCTGAAGAACTCTCCTCGGAATACCCAATCCAGGTTTGTGAAAATATCTTCTCTCTCATCCCTAGCCATCAACTATGAACTAGTTCAACTAAGAATCAAAATTTTGTTTTTTTCAGTTGTTGGATCTGATGCATACTCTACATACTCGCACAGCTCAGATATACCGTTGGTGGGCAGAAGAAAGTGGAGACGTTCAACAACCATCTCTCTGGACAGTTGGTTGGTGTCCTCTATTGCAAGGCATTGCTCGCCTGTGCTGTGATAGTCGTAAAGATGTGAGTAATTGTGGGAGGTCTCTGATCTGCATGAGTTTCTCTACAACAACAAAAATATAACTGAAAATAATTGGGTTTATGTTTAGGTGCGAATGAGTGCTATCACATACCTTCAAAGTGCTTTGTTGATGCACGACCTGCAAACATTGAGTGCACAAGAATGGGAGTCATGTTTCAGTAAGGTGTTATTCCCTCTCTTGGCTCGACTGTTAGAACCAGTCTGCCCTGGAGACCCATCTTGCAGAACTCGAGAAGAAGAAACCCGCATGCGTGGAGCCACACTGCTCAGCAAGGTAACATCATTATTTATAAAATAAAAATAAAAATTTATAAATGTTTATCATTCTTGTCAGTTTTAATTATGGAAAATTATTGTAATTACTTTCAGGTTTTCCTCCATCACTTGACACCCCTTCTTTCACTGCCTAATTTTACTCCTTTGTGGTTGACAATTTTGGACTTCCTTGACAAGTACATGCATTCAGACAACAGTGATTTACTGGTGAGTTGCCTAAATGTGAACATATTTCTTTCTTACAGTAAAATTTTGCCTTTATTCTACTTATTTCAATATTATTGTCTACAGCTGGAAGCAATTCCTGAAACATTAAAAAATATGCTTTTGGTGATGGACTCTGCAAGAGTGTTCTCTTCCCCTGATGGTTACTCCCCTTTGTGGACTGTAACATGGGAAAGGATAGACAGTTTCTTGCCATCACTGAAACAGGAGTTTATCAAGGCACATCCATCAGGTAGTAGCCACAAAGTGTTAAATAGTACTTGTTTTGCTCCTGTAGTGTTTTGTTTTCTGTTTCTTTTTTTTGTTTTTCTTTTTACAACTATTGAGTAACATAATTTTAAATATATTTCTTCAGAAAAAGCCAAATCTGTCTCTGAAGAGTTGCCTCATAGTCCAGATTATGAAGTTGTTCCAAATGAGCAAGAAGCATGGCTTCTTCAACGGCAACAGCAACAAAATTATCAGCAACATCTATCACAGCAAGTGCCTCAAACTCTACAGTCAGAACAGCAGCAGTTGCAACAGCATCAGCAGCCTGAACAGTGCCCACAAACAGAACAGGATCTCCATCAACAATCAGAACATCAGGAGCACGGTCATCCTTCTCAGCAGTCTTTCATTCAGGGGGAACAAGATTATAATCAACATGCAGTGGGCTTTACTCCAATTCAAGCAGCTGCTCCTACTTCAAACATTGACTCAAATATTCTACCACATCAGCCAATTCCTCTTCTTGGGCCAACACCCATAGTAGCTCCACCACCCATACAAGGGTAAGTGTCTTAATCAACGTTTATGTGACCAACATCGATAATATGTATTTGGTACTGTACAATTTTGTTTGTTTGTTTATTTCAGTGTCTCCAATAACGCTATCCTCCAGCCCCCCCTTTCATTACCAGCAGTTTCAGGATTCCCTTTGCATACTACTATGTTTCCTCACATGGGACAAGTGAGATAATTTATCCATATTTAATTAATGATACATTATATGAGATTTGTTAAAAGTCTAAGGTAACCTGTTTTTATAATTTTAACAGCTTGTGTCGACACCGATTACTGGGCCACCAATTACTACATCAACCAGTCCAGATCCAAATCAAAGTCAATTCGAACCACCAGGAAATACTCAGCCATTTTTAACTAACCAGTCTTCTCTTGGAATTACCCCTGAAGCTGTTCTAGAAGCATTTACACCAACACGTAGTGGTTCTGTGTTATCTGGTAGCTCCTTTGTCAGCAATCCTCCTTCTATTCCCAATCCAAATGAAGGAGGTATCATTTCTGCATCTCGTTACTTCTACCAGGATCAGTCTCCTTTATCATTTGCACCACCTGGGGTATGTTGTACATACATGACAGCTCATTTTTGAAATAGTATGAAGAAATGATTTGGTTTTTGTATTACAATACTTGCATGTATTTTGCTTACAGGCTTTTCAAGCACAAGTTTTAAATCCAGCCACTGCTACAACAGGTAAGATGAGAGCTTACTTACATTTTAAAAACTTTGGTGATGACATCTAATTAAATAGCTTTTTTTCTTTTTTCTTTTCAAAGTGCCCATGTTTAGTTTATTAGCTTATACCCCTTCTATTTTGTCTTCACAGTAATGGGAAATAAAGGAATTCTTCTAGAAGGAGCAAACATACCAACCCTTCCAATATTATCCTCTTTTGTATCTACTGAGCAGCCAAGTATTGAAGATCAGAAAGAGAGTTAATTTCTGTATTTTTACTTTCTACATGTTTGACTAATTTTTAAGCTGAAGCCAAATGTTTGTGTCCGTGTATTTTAATGTACTAGTTTTTGGTAGTTCATAAACTTATTAAATACCTCTCTATGTACACTCTTAAAAAATCTGCAATCAATGTTCAGGTTCAAGGAACTGACTCTGTTGCTGAATGAGTCAAAGGCAGCAGATTAAGAAAGTTCTAAAACTAACTGCTATACCGGTATGGTACATAGCTTTTATTACGAATTTATTCACCGTTTTGTGGTGTTTATGTAATTCTATGACTCCCAGCTAGCTTTGATTCCCAATTTCTTTGCATTTGACGCTCAGGGTATTAAACTTCATTATCAATTGTGTTGTCAAATAAAAATCTTTTGTTTTTTTTTTTCTTTCTGAAATTTATTTTTGTAATTTATTATTGTTACTGTGATTGGATTTTAGGAATAGACTTGTTTGCCTCATTCAGGGTTGCATTATAATTATTTTAGTGTTTTCAACTAGAATGAAACCTATCTGAAGTTGAAAAATCATGTAAGAATTAGAGTTGAGGCTTGAGGAAGAGCGGCTCATTCTCATGATTGAAGTGTCCTTTTTCCGTTTTGTTCATAAATTGATTGCAGATTGCTCTACAAAGACTTAGTCCATCCTATGAATGGAACATGTGCGCTTCCTTCATGGAATGAAGTTTATAAATGAAGTTTTGTAATATACAGTAAAGGAATATGTTTTAACATTTGTCACAATTGTTGTATAATTTTAAGTGTATCTATCTATACAGTTATAAAAATATAAATTTGTTTCAAAATAATAATTGTATTTTATTAATTGACAATAGGGGATTCATTAATTTCAGGACATAATCTTTATTGCTGAGGTGATCACAACTTTGATTTACATTTTCAGGTAAATTATGTTTAAAGCGGGAGAACGTGAAAAATATACAATGGAAAGGCTCAGTGTGCAAAATTCATGTTCTCCTTTACACAGAAAAGCTTGAACAAAAATCAAGGTAGTGTGCATGAAGATTAAATGCAATAACCAGAAGAGATTTCTAAAGACAAAACCGGGTAGATTCACATAGTATGTCATATTACAATAAAAATCACAATTCATAAAAGATAAGCGCTTTGATGCCATAACAAAAAGTTTATCTTCCCTTCATTCATACAACAATGCAAGATTCCAAGTACTCCCAACACAAAAAAATGTCCAAAATCCAGCGTCAAAAAAAGATAGATTAAAAAAAAAGTCGTTCAAATGTGTTTCAAAGACACAAACTGACACAGAATTAAAATTGATTTAAAATGAGAGATTTCAGGTCAATTTCTTAAGCAGCATTGCATCTAGAAATCTACAAGGATACAGTATACTGCTACAAACAGTGATTAGCCACAAATTCTAAACAACAGAAACACAGTAGCCAAGATATCAGGGAGTGAACTTAACCTTTTAGCACTCTACAAAATCAATACAAAAACCAGTAGTTAAAACTTAGTATAAAAATTTCCCAACATACAGCAGAATGATACTGATAAGGCTTTCATTCACTCCACACATAATTCATTTAAGTACACAGTTTTTACTGATATCTTTTTCACATGTAAATCCAATGCAGAGCTTCCTTAGTTAAACTTGGATTGCTCAGAACGCCAATCCTGCTTCCTTGTATGTAGTGTAGATTTTCTCAATTGAATTCACATATGCTGCTGTTCTGAGGTCCAAACCCAAGTTGTACTTCATGGCAGTCTTCATGATAGCCTGTAAACAGACAAAGAATTTCTTTAAAGAGATCTGTCCTAACATTTAGAACTGGAGAGATGTAGGTACGCTGTACGCTACATACCCTAGCTGATCGCTCCATGGTGTAGTCCAGACCAGAGTGCACAATGTCTTTCTCAGATGCTCCGGAGATTCTCTTTTGGAATGATTCTGATGGAGTGACTGGAATACGTCCACCAACACGCCCAAAACGCCTTTCAAGAGACTCTTGGACTGACTCTGTAGAAGTAGAACAACAAAATGAAAGACTTTGTGCCGTAGTTCAGAACAGAAAACTGTGAAAGGCACTTTAAGTAACTTACCCAACAAATGATAGTTAGATTCTCTTTCATACTTAAATGTAAGACGGCCATAAGACACATGGTTCAAATTTTTGAGCCACTCAAAGAATGAAACTGTGACACCACCAGCATTGATGTACAAGTCTGGGATAACCAAGATATTTCTATCGAGGAGAATTTTATCAGCAGCAGGTGTTGTTGGACCATTAGCAGCTTCGGCAATTATCTTGGAAATTTAAGAAAGAAAATGTTAGTGGAAGAAATAATCCCGTGGTAAAATACAGAAAAACATGGAGGATCAACTCACCTTAGCCTGAATTTTGTGGGCATTTTTGCTAGTAATCACTTTTTCCAAAGCTGCTGGTACAAAAATATCACATGGCTCATACATCAAATTTTCTCCTTCGTAAGGTTGAGCACCAGGGAAGCCTACAATGGATCCTGTGTCAATACGGTACTCTTCAAGTTGCTGGTGGAAGAAGTGAAAGCACAATTAATTCCAGAAGTGCATTGAAATGACAAGTTATGATTTCTCAAAGATTGCGAGGCTATTAACCAACCTTAGGATCAATGCCCTCTGGATTGTAAATAGTTCCATCACGTTCAATAACACCTATACAAGTTGCCCCAGCGCGGTGAAGGTACCTCATTGTGTGCAAGCCCACATTACCGAAACCCTGTAAAGTTTTCATATTACTTTAAGAAGCAAGCTGCTTGTAATAAAATTAACTAACATAAAAACCAAAGCAAAAAAGAAAAAGAAAAACACTTGTATCCTTACCTGGACAATGAAAGTCTTACCACCCCATCCAGGAGTAGTACCAATCATACTCATGTAGTTTGCCTCCATGATAAAGTTTTCTAGTCCGTGAAATACTCCACGACCAGTTGCTGAGATACGGCCATGAATGCCTCCCTGATTAATTGGCTTACCAGTAACACAGGCATGGGCATTGATGTCCAAGTGGCCTGGTTATATATGAAGAATTGTTATAAGGAAACAAAATTTAAATGTATGCTTGTCAGATAATATAACTGGGAACACAATTTACCAATAGTTTTTGCATAGGTGTCCGCAATCCAGGACATTTCTCTCTCCCCGGTTCCCATGTCTGGTGCAGGGACATCCACACCAGGCCCTGAAAAACAAAAACATAGATGTATGTCATGATAATAAAATGTAAAAAATACAAAGATGTGAATTTACAGCGTTTTACTTTGCACGCGCAACAGTATAGCGGGCTTGCCTACTCTCTCCGCCTGCAAGGCACCATCGTCCATGGGGCTCAAGGGCGTAGGCCAGCCCCAAGCCCCACTACACTGTTGCTCTTACACAAACACATTTATAACCCCC